AGCCTAAAAGGCTCATTAAAGCCCTGCTGCTGTGCCAGCCGTGCTCACCCGGTGCCTGGGCAGCTCCGGGCACACCGTGGCCACTCCACCAGCACTGGAGCCAGCCTGGTATGTGCATGGTGCATCCCCCAGTGGGGTTTGGGAAGTGCATCCCCCTCTCTGGGGTTTGACAGGCCATGTGTAGTCTCAGGCTGAAAAGGGATCCCTTACAACTACCTGAAAGGAGGCTGTAGCCAGGTGCGGGTCAGTCTCTTCTTCCAGGTAACGAGCAATAGGACAGGAGGAAACAGCCTCAAGTTGCTCCAGAGGAGGTTTAGATTAGGTATTAGGAAAAATTTCTTCACTGAAAAGGTGGTCAGGCATCGGAACAGGCTGCCCAGAGCAGTGGTGGACTCCCCATGCCTGGAAGTGTTCAAAAACCATGTAGATGTGGTGCTTAGGCGTGTGGCTTAGTGACAGACATGGTAGTGCTGTGGGTTAATGGTTGGACTCAATGATCTTAAAGGTCTTTTCCAAGCTTAATGTTTCTGTGAGTTTTCAAGGAGTTGGTGCTTTCTTGATGGCCTCTGGGCAGGAATGGTGGATGTGGCTCTGATTTGGGTTCCTAGTGCTGTGCTGCTGCCAGGAGCTGCCTGTCTCAGCTGCATCAGTGCCCTTGCCCAAGCCGTAGTTGTGTCCATGTTGCTCGGGTGTGCCCGTGGCCATGGGACAGCGGAGTCTTGCTCCCTCCCATGCCACCACCCTGCCAAGATTCCATTTGCATCCCACCTCAAGCACTGGGCACTGGGATGGGTGAAGCTTTTAGCAGACACAGGAGCTGCCGGTTGCAGAGTGCTCAGAGTGCTGCGAGTGAGCAGCACACTCGGCAGCCGCCCTCATGAATATTTTAGCTCGGAGAATTAACATTTGTCGAGACGAATTTATGGAGGCAGCGTGGATGTGTGGATGTCTCTTCCCCAGGCACCACAGGCTTGCTGCTGCTCCAGGGCAGCGCTGGGAGCCAAGACAGAGCCAGCCAGAGCATGAGCCCGTCACGGCGGAGTGGGACAGCAGAGCCATGATCTCCCCCCGGGACAGCCAGGCCCCGGTGCCAAGGCAACCACCCTGCCATGCGGGATAGACAAATGGTTGTGGTGTTTTGTTTTTTTTCTCTTCCCCTCCTGGTTCTTGGCAGAAAGTAAAATGTCCCTTTTGTTTGGTTTCCTCCTCCCCCTGCCCCATCGCCTCTCTTTAAAGGTTGTGTTCCAGATTTTGTCAACCCACGTTGTGTAATAACCCCGGAGAATGGTGTGGGCATTGGCCGTGTCCCACTGAGGCCGTGGCAGAGCCAGTCCTTGGGAGCTTGACCGTGGGGTTACCTACTCCAAAACATGCTGTGTACAGCTGTGTACAGGAGCAAAACTGCCTTGTATTTTGTATTGAACTCCCATGATCCATGTGTTAGAAATGACGGGGAAGGTACTTGGAGAAAATTCTGAGTTTTTTGAATCTAAATAATCCTGTTTTTCTACTTGAGCCCTGCAAAACCATATGGAAATTAGGGACTTGCAGATAAACCCTGTTAACTTTTAGCAGCAGCCATTGCACCTGGGAGTTCATCACCCATGGAGCATCTAGCACTGTTCAGGAGGATGCATTAATGCCCTGCTTGGGATTTCTTCCTTTGGGCTTCTAAGAGGTCCCTGTTCTTTCTTTCCCTCGGTTCTAGTGCCCAAAGAGGGGGCTGCTGCAGTTTCTGGGCTCTGCATCCTACAAGTATCCATCCAAAGGTCCCTGCATCTCATCTGGAGGCTGCTGGGATTGTTGATGTGGAGAGCATGGTGTGACTCACGTCCTGAGCACCCGGGGAGGGAGAGGAGGAGGAGGAGAATGTACTATAGGCTTTGTGTGTTGTGGAGAGGGACGCTGCGAGCACGTGTGTGTGTCAATAGGGATCTGTCATTCCAGAGGGAAACAGCAATGCAATTGTTTCTTGGCTCCAGTTGCTCTGCTGGTACTGGCACCATGGAGAGCTGTAGCTGCTCATGTGGTGCAAGTGTTCCCTTCCTGGTGCTAACAAGGGGCAGGTCCACTGACTGGACCGGAGGTGGCCGACGGCACCAAGGAGAGCTGGTAATGGTGCCCGTAATGGTGTCCTCTGTGCTTCCAGAGGTGCATCCTGCTGTGCTTCCACTCCTAACCCCAGTTAAATGACACACTCAGGCACCAGATCCACTTCTGGGGTAGCTGTGTGCTCCATCCCATTGGCAGCAGCATGGGAAATGGCAAAGGCAGGGCCCCAGTGCCTCGGGGACGGGGCTGTCCCTGAGCTGGGGACCGGCAGCGGCTGGAACAGGAGCTGAGCCTGAGCATCCACTCCTCCTCACCTGGACACAAAGCCACCCCGGGGTCTGACGCTGGGTTCAGCCTTGTATCAAAGCATCTGCTCTTCCAGGGGCTGGTTAAAGTCCCAACCTTGTTGTTGTTGCTTTGGCATCTCTGCCATACAACACCTCCCTGCTTCTGCGTTTATTTATTCCCTTACAATTGCGGGAGCCACGCAGTCCTCACGAGGCTTTGGACTAGCCCAGGGACCAGCTCTGCTCTTCCTTCCCCAGGGATCCCCAGCCTTGAGAAACCCCTCAGCCTAGAATGGGGTGCTCAGAGGCGAGGATGGGGTCTGAGCCGCCTCCTTCTCCTTGGTGGAGTTTGCGTGTGTGCGCACACGCGTTTCCACCCGGCACCATTTGCATTTCACTTCAAAGTGCCTGTGTTGCCTCCAAGGAAGGAAATAAAGGGTGTAAAGGAATTTACATCCCGAGCGAGCAAGGCTGCTGGTCTATCAGGTTTCATCTGCTGCTGACAGGTGTGGGGGTTCAGGGGGGCTGCTGTGGGATGTCAGGTTCGTCCCTGGTGCTGCAGGTGCCAGAGGGTCAGTCCTAGCTTTGCTCCCAGCCCTTTCCTGGCATCCTGGCTCAGAGGCGTGGTGGTGGACAAGAACTCGTGTCAGGCTGTGCAAGATGCCAGTGTTCACCCTCACAAGGAGGGGCGAGTGGCAAAACCACTTTGCAGGACCAGCCCAGCGGTGGGGGGGCCCCTAACCGGCTCTTCCGCTCCTGGCACGCTTTGGTCAGGGCGGGGTGTGAGCTCCAAGGGAAGCCGCCCTGAATGCTGCCGTGGGGTTAAAGAGGGAGGAGAGCAGGCGAGTTTTGTCTCTTCCTCTCCTCCTGTGCCAGCTCCCTGCCAAATCCCCGTGGGGCCTTACAGGGAGTCAAGGGGTGCCTGTGGCAAGAGGGACTAAGTGGCCCGGAGCATCCCCGAGAGACTAGGGCTCCCTCCCTCCTCCTCATCCCCTTTTTCCCCCATCCTGGTTGCATTCCCTTGTGCGAAACTACTCTGGGTGAGGAAGGAGGTTGGACCTGGACCTTACAGTCCTGGAGGCCTTCAGCTGTGCCAAAGGCCAGCAAGACAAAAACAGTTCTAAGACTCCACTTGGAACAGGAGAAAGTTTTTCCGTTGGGTTTTTATAGCTCCCGGAAAGCGGGGTTTTATTTTTGTTGTCTAAGACAAAAAATCCTCTTAGGAGCTAAGTACCCGCAGCGGTGCAGGGCAGGAGGCTGTGCATGCGCCGAGCCGGGGGTCTGGGCTCCGTCCCTGGGGTCTGTGGATGCTGATTTCCACAAAGGAAAAGAGGAGGTTTTGTTGTTCCTGATGTACAACTGGTCCCGTTTGCGTACACATTCGCTGCAGCACCCGTGATGGCTCCACGCCACCCCTGAGCTGTCAGAGGATGCTCCCACCCAGGGACACAGCTGCAGGAAAAGCCCTTTTCCTGGGGAAAGGGTTTTTTTCCCACTGCCTACAGGAGGAGTAAACTGGGGGCTTTGTGGGGCTGATCTGAATTTCCTGGGGTTGTAGGCTGGGGCCATTGAGCTCTCCTCAGTCGCCCTTTCTTTGCATGGCGCAGGCTGCTCTTGGAGGGGTTTTGCTGGCAGGGGAGCTTGTTTCCATGGTAAAAACCTTAACAGCATCTGCCAAAAATCCGTCTCCTTATTGGCCTGGCCATCTGGAGGGCACAAGGAGGCTTTGACAAGGGTGACAAGGTGGCCACGGGCTGCTTTGGGTCCTCCTTCGGTGTAGTTGGCAGCTTGGAGGGGTCCCTCCCTCAGTCATTTATGGCCCAGGCGCAGGTTTGCTCTGAGATGCTGTAGGGACCCCAGTGTCACCCAGCCTGGTGGGGACAGGCAGGCTGTGGATGGGGGAGCCATGGCATCCGTGCTCAGGGAGGGAGGGCTGCGGGCGCCATGCACAGGGAGCGGGTGGCCACGTTGTAATCGGATGAGCCAGCACTGCTCCAGATGGACCTGTCAGCTCTTGTCAGTGCTGACAGCCCTCTGGGTGTCCCTCCACGTCCCCTCAGGCCACAAGGGCCACCGCCTGTCCCACTTTACTGGGTCTGCTTGGAGCAAGGGGGCCTAGAGGTGACACTGTGTTTACAACACCCACCGGACAAATAAGGTGCCATCCATGCTGTGATCCTTCCCTGGCAAAATCCATGGGTTTTTAAATTTTAATGGGAAAAACCTGGCATGTGTGTTTGTCTGTCCCTGAGCCATCCTGTGGTGAGGGCAGTGGGACCTTACTACTTTGCCACCCCTGTCCCCAGGTGCCACCCCACCACCCCAGATGGTTCAGAGCTGCAGACCCAAAGCCGGACACTCGGTGCCTTTCCTTGGGATCCCTGTACTACAGCAGGGGATGCTCTGGATATTGGGCATAGGAGAAGTGTCTTGCTGGCAGCAGTGGACCAGACTGGGCTGGCAGGACTCGTACCTGCCCAGATGTGTGGCACAGGGCTTTGCTGTGTGCTGGCACAGCATGCTGATGGGTCTGGGAGCTTGTGGGCAAAGCATCTTGATGTGTACGATCCTGGTGTCCACCAGGAGAGGTTTTAGGGCTCAACTCTGCACTCTTCTGTTCTTTTCTCCTTAAACAATACCTCTTTCTCCTTCCCCTTGCAGCCGACAACCCTCCCACAGGGCACCATCAACATGAACCAGTGCACGGATGTGGTGGATGGGGAGAGCCGGACAGGGCAGAAGTTCTCCTTGTGCATCCTGACACCGGAGAAGGAGCACTTCATCCGGGCTGAGAACAAGGAGATCATCAGTGGGTGAGTGCAGATCCGGGGCTGAGCTGCTGCCGCGCTCTTGCATGAGCTGGGAGGAAGAGGAGGGTGAGTAGGACGTTGCCCAAGGCTGGGTGCTGTGGCAGTGCATACCCAGGCTGATCCTGGGTGCTGGGGATCCTGATGGGTGCTGGGGTTACCCCATGGTGCTTTTAGCCTCGTCCATCCCTAGTGGATTCCAGACATGGAATCCTGGGGTGGATGCAGCCCACCCCTGTGGTCCCAGGAGAGCATCTGACCTGCAAGAATGATTAAAGTATCATCGCTCACAGGAGTGCCTGCTGCTGAGCTGCAGGGGCTCAGAAACACTGACGATTAGGCCGCTAAAACAAGCAAATCAGGGTAGATTTCCCAACTCCAGGTGTTGGGTGGTGACCTAGAAACATCCTCTTCCATCACTCACATGCTGTCTCGGGTTGAAGCTGGAGCAGGTGAGGGTGCAGAGCCGTGGGAGAGCAGAGCTGCTGGCACAGAGCGACAGACTGTGGCGGGGCTGCTGCTCACCTGCGAGCGTTCCCCGCGTGGGGTTCCTGGAGCTCAGTGCCTCCCTCCCAAAATTTGTTGACATTTGAAACTCGAGCAGGAAGTTGAAGGGATGAAGCACTCGCTCTTTTCCCCTCTTCCTGAGTCACGGCGTCTCCCACCTCCCCCAGCCTTGGCAGCAGCAGAGTCACCACTTTCAGCTGAGATTTCTGCTTCCAAGCATTTTCTTTGGTTGTGACTCCCCCCGCTTTGGTAAATGCCTGTCGAAATACAACATTTTTCTACCAAGAGCTTGAGATTTTGATTAGATATATGCTGTCTTGTGTTGAAACCTCCCTGCTCTACTGAGACACACGAGCACGGGTCATTCCCTCTCTGTGAACCACTTTGGGCTGGCAGACCTGTCCCCCCCTACCCCGTTCCCAGCAGTGGGGTTGCAGCGGCTGCAGAGCCGGGATGCAGAGGCACAGGGGAATCACGGCACAGGGGAGCCAACTCCTCACCTCCAGCCAAGGCAGGAGGAGTCACTACACCCCAAACCATGGCCAGCCCCCATGCCCTGCTCTCTCCTCCCTCTCCCCACGCTCTGGTTCACAGCTCAGCCTTTGTTGCTGGTCCTGCCTGCCGCGGGAGGGAGAGGCATTGCAGAGCGAGGTGGGGCTGATTTATTGCTCATCGGCCCAGCGATGGGTTTTGAAGCAGCGCGTTTGCTCCTGACTGCAGGCATTAATCATCCCAGAGCAGTCCCACTCTGGGGCTGAGCCAGGCGGGTTTCGTTTTCAGTTGCAGCACGACAGGAAGATTTCCCTGGCTGGGGGAGAATTTGTTCTACGTTCATTCCGTCCTGCTGGCATTTATTGCTTAACCAAACCCCACTTGATGTGGTCATCTCCAAGTGCTTTACAGCAGCAGCGTGCAAAATGGGGGGAACAGGAGAGGGAAGGAGGGACATATGAAGCAGGAGTGTTTCCCAGCAGTCCTCAGATACCTGTGGAGTTGGCAGAGATGCTGGGCAGGTCATCAGGCTGCAGTGGCAGGGCGTAGGAGAGTCCCCCCAAGTGACTTGTGCAGGGGATGGACTTCACAATGCCAAGTTCACACTGTTCTTCCTTGGACAAAAGCACTTTGTGTGCAGTGTGCGGGTGTTGGCATTGCTGAAGGGGGAAGGTCCTGCTGGAGGCTCTGTCCCTCTCTGCTGTCTTTCAGGATCCTTGAATCTCTGCCCCATGTCAGCCTTGGCTGTGGCCTTGCTCTTGCAGTGAGTGGGGTTTGAGCCAAAGCACCCTGAGGTCATCCCTCTGCCCCTCCTCTCCTGGCTTTTTTTGTCCCCTGGAGCTGGTTGTGATGATTTCTGGTACTGTTCCCCACACTGACCCTGACCAGGTCAATGTCACTCCCATCCCTACGTGCTCCCCCACAGCACAGACCTCACCTTCTTCTTTCTCTGCCCGCAGGTGGCTGGAGATGCTGATCGTCTATCCCAGGACAAACAAGCAGAATCAGAAGAAGAAGAGGAAGGTAGAGCCCCCAACTCCCCAGGTAACCCCAGGGAGACACACACATTGCCACCCAGACCCTTGCCTCCCTCTCAGGGCCACAGCCTTGCTTTTTTCCTGGGGGAGGTCCCCTCTAACCCTCTGAATCAACTTTCTGCCAACCTTCTGATGCTGCCTGTGCAGAGAGTGAGAGCTGGGGTGAACCAGGACAGCAGATCAGTGTGAATTAATTCCTGATCATCACTTCCAGGGTCACACACTGCTTTCCTGGCCGCTTTGTGGCCACGTTTCACCTCTCAGGTGCTGTTTTGTGGCGCTGGCCCTGCCCACGCTGTCTCAAGAGTGGCCACAAAGCCATGTGGTCCCTGTGGAGGACCAGGGAGAGGTGCTGTTCGTGGGCCATTTCAGCAGAAACAGGATGAAATTCCATCGGGCTCCGGTTACCCCCTTTGAGATGACCCCAGAGATAGTGGGAATGAAAGGAAAATACTAAAGGCCAGGGCCAGGCTGGGAGCTCCGGGGCCGGAGCCGGGCTCTCCAGGGACCCGCCAGTGGCTTCGTGCTCGCTTTGACTATAAATGGTAAAAAGTGGGGCCGGCCGTGACTCACTCGTTCCTGCCGGGCTCCCACGTGGCCAGAGTGGGGGAGAATCCCACAGATGGGGAACGTGACCCCGAGGCCACCCTTGTCCCTCGCCGGGGCTGAGAACAGCCGTGTCCCTGAGGCCGCCTGACCTCCGGGCGCGCGTCCCACTGCCATGGGGGACCGGCTGGGAGGGCTCCTCCAGCCGAGCCGGGTTGCACACCAGGGACCAAAACCGGGACTGGGGCTCCCCTGAGCCCTGGTTTTCAGGTTGATGGAAGTTCCCAGCATGGTCCTGGTGCAAACTGGGCCCATGGGTGGGTTTTGTACGGCACGTCTCTGAGTAAGTTTCCACCACGCCACTGGATAAAGATGTTCTGGGCAACGGGAAAAAAAATTAGGGGGAACATGATCCTTTTTTGCACACCAAGCTGGAAGTCTGAGTCACCTCCTGCCAAGGGCTGGGGTCCTTAAAGCCCCTCCAGCTCCTCGAGTGCTGACTCTGGTGATGCTTCAGGGAAGATGCCTCCTCTCTCCATGACCGAGAGCTGATGTGTTACAAGTTGTCTGTCCTCAGTCCCCAGGGAGAGGGCTGGCACATTTGGGGCACCCCAGTGAGCAGATGCAGCAGGGCAGGGATGCTCACCCCATCCTGACACAACAGTAAACCCAGACTGGGTTCAGGAGGGGGACGGGGTGGAGAGAAGAAGGGGCGCAGAGCCAGAAAAACATCATTCTGGGTTACATTTCATCACCATGGCAACTTCTTGGAAACTGTACAGGATCTGAGCTCCTGAGCACCAAATAAGGGAAGTGGCTGCGGGAACGATGCTGGCTCCCCACAGGCAGACGGGCTCCCCAGGTGCTTGGGGATGGGGCGAGCATGGACCCTCATGGCACATTGCCCCTCCTGGCTTGAGGCAGGCCACCCCAAGCTCCATTCTGCTTGCTACCCTCCTTCCACCCTCACCATCCTGTCACTCCCAGTCCCATGGTGCTGGAAAAAGGCCCAAATTCACTTTGCAAAGCCAACCTCCATGTGGGACCTGCTGCCGGACGGATGCTGCGCTGTGTCGGACACTCACAAGCCACCTGCAAAAGCAGAAGCAGCATCTTTCCTCTTGTCTCCCGAATCCTGTTGATGCAGGCAACTGCTCTGGGGAAGGAGAGAGGATGCTGAGGAGAAAATCAGCACCAAATCCCGCCCTGTGAAATGGCTTCTCCTGAAGTTGGCTGCTGTTCAGCTCGCTCTCCGTGTGCTGGTGGAGAAAGGCTGATCTCTTTCTAAAGATGGCCACACACTAATCCAGCAGCAGGTCATGTCTTAGATCTGCTCAGAGAGGGATGGACACCTTTGTGATTTAAAAAAAGAATTTAAACAATGGATATTCCTTCTATTTCTAACTCTCACATAGTTTTTCTTTGTCTGTGGTAGAGCAGAGCTTGGTGCAGCCCGGGGCTCCTGGGGCATCAGGGCCACTTCCAGCTCCCCCCATCATTTTTTTTATCATCCCTCTGCAAAATCACCAGGATGGGAGCAATGCAGGGAATATCAGCTTTTGGACAGGGAGAGTTGTGTGTTTGTGCTTTGCTTTGCAAGCAGATTGCAGTTTTAGGAGAAAAAGGGCAGGTTTTGCCGTGCTCCAGCAGAACGGTGCAGGCAGCAGGAGAGACTGGACTGCCTGTGCCTGCCTGCTGCCTGTGGGAACTTGAGGCAGGGTTTGGGGCTGAAATCTGGGATTTGAGGCGCTGCCCTCTGTTTGCACAGGGGTGTGGCAGGCTCAGGTAAGGAGAGCATGCCCAGACACACTTCATGCAGCTGGAGCCTGGTTCTGCCGATTTTGGTGCATGCTGCTTTTTGGAGGTGTTCATACCCCCGAGCAGCAAAGAGTTAATGCCTCTGCTCCCTTACAGACTTCTTTTTGGCCCACATCTCAGCCTAATTAAATACATATCTACAAATAATTACACGGGGGTGTGTGTAAGGGATATATAAAAATATCCTGAGTTGGTGATTAGCTTCGGGCTTGGATCGATGAATGAGTGGTTGAGGGTGGAGGGGACCTTGGAGATTGGCCCGACCCCCTGCTCAAGCAGAGTCCTCTTCAGTGGGATGCTTGTGAACTCTGGATCGTTTACCTCCAACACTGCATTCCTTTGGTGTGAAATTTCCAAGGGGATTTTTTTAAAAATTGAGGTCATTTGCTGCTTGTTGTGGCTGTGCACAGAGCCAGGACCCACTCCCTGGGAGATCCCCGGTGGCACTGGCACAGCCCTGCAAATGCTGATTTGGAGGTGCAAGACTAAAACCCACCTGATGTGGGAGCAGGGGATGGAGAGGATGCTCTTTGCAGCCGCTGTCCTCCCCAGCCTGTGGCTGCTGGCTCAGGCACTCCTGGATTCTCCCTACTCCATGGAAAAGGAACAAGCAGCTGGAAAACTTCCCACAATCCAGAGACTTTGGAGGGGAGTTAATTGTCATTGATTTATTGGTGGCTTTAAGGAAAATAATCTTCGAATGCTGAAGCTTAATATGACAACAACAAAACATCTGGTAATGAACAAAGCTGAGGAGGGAGTTGGGAAAGCTGCTGCCTCTTCTGGGTCACACTCTGAACCTGGGCTGGCCTGGCTATGGCCACCAAAGTGGCATCATCCATCATCTGATGGAATCTGGAGCTCCTTGCTGGCAAGAGAAGCATTTCAGATGATGGGGATTGTTTTAAAACCAGCATAAAGCTGTGACACGTGGCTGAGCAGCCCTGTCCCATCCCTATCGTGCTGTGATATGTCACGGGCAGCACCCAAACCGTGTGGGACCTCAGGGCCAAGCCTCTGGGGACTCTGACTGTGGAGCTGGGGCAAACTCTCTAACCCTGCTGTGTCCCCTGTTCTTTCTAGGAGCCTGGTCCTGCTAAGATGGCTGTGACCAGCAGCAACATCCCCAGCGCAGAGAAGGTCCCTGCCACCAAGTCCACGCTCTGGCAGGAAGAAATGAGGGGCAAAGACCAAGTGGACGGGGGCAGCAGCATCAGCCCAGCACAGAGCCCCGTGCAAGGCCAGGCCGGGGCTGCCAGCTCCCTGAAGGATCCCGTGCTGGACAGCAAGGAAGGTGAGGGGCAAAGGTGCCAGCACTGATGTGATGCCCTGGTGACCTGGTTCAGGCAGCTGAGCTGGCAGAAAACCACTATAGAGGGAGAAGTTTTCCCTGGGTTTGGTTCCTGGAGGATTCCAGCAAGGAGAGAGAGGCAGACCTCATCCCTGCTGTGTGGGGACTAGTGTCAGGCATTACAAGCTGGAGTTCAGGAAGGAAGGAAGTTGGCATTTCATGCTGGAAAATCACAGTGTGGGGCCCAATCACGACCTGGCAGGGAGATGGGGCTGCCTACCCTCACACTGGGAGCAAAATGAGAGGGAAAATGCCTTTTCTAGCCCTTCCACATCCCCACTTGGGCACCCAGAGTGGGCAGGGCCATGTCATGCTCAGCTCAGCCATCCAGGCTGCCAAGCACTGAGCTCTGCTTCCTCCTCCAGCCCTGTTTACATTTGATCTCCATGATAATTCCCTGGAAGATGCTGGATCCATGGCATTGTTCTCCCTGAAACAGTGGGGTTGGGTGCTCTTCCTGCCAGGCCATGGATAGGTCCCAGTGCTGGGGCCCTTTCAGGTGGGGAATGCTGCCCACTCAGGTGGGGAATGCTTTCCACCCACTCCCACTTGCCAGGAGTGAGATGTCCATTGCCTTGCACCCATAGAGCTGTGGTTAATGCTGGGCTGGGGAGGCCAGAGATGGAAATGGGTGCAGAGCAGTGACTGCAGCCACCCAGTTCTTGGTTTGAAAGTATTTCACCTGTGCAAGCCCAACCCAAGAGTTGGACCAGCATCCTCAGTTCCCTGCAGACCATCCCACCGTCTCTGTGGGCATGAGGGAGAAAAGCCAAGGGTGCAAGAGATGGCACAGGGCTGGGGCCAAGGCTCTGCTCTCATTTCCTGCCCTTGTCCTGGGTAGAATTGGGGTGTTTTTTGTTAAAAGCAGAACTCAGACTTGAAACCAAGCACGATGACTCCTCTGTCCCTTAGACGAGAGCTCCATGAACGGAGACCGGATAGACTGCGGGCGGAAGACGCGTGTCGAGAGCGGGTACTTTTCCTTGGAGAAGACCAAACAAGACTCGAAGCTGGAAGAGCAGCAACTGCCGCCCCCGCCGAGCCCGCCCAGCCCCAGCACCCCGAACAACAGGTACAGTTATCCCAAATCGCCCTCACAGGAGCATGCCCAGCCCTTTCCTTCCCCAGGTACCCGATCAGGCGACCGAATGATTCACAGCTCCTCTCTGAACTCCTTGGACTCGAAGAGCAGTTGCTCCAAGCACAAGGACTCCAGCAACAGAGATGTAGGAAGGGGAGCTGAAAAATCGGGGCGTCCCCTTTCTTTTAAAGCCAGCCGGCAGTACACCACCCTGGCCGACGTTCCCAAGGCCATTAGGATCAGTAATCGTGAGGCCTTCCAGGTGGAGAGGAAGCGGCTAGAGCGGAGAACCCGGGCTCGTAGCCCTGGGAGAGAAGAAGTGGCCCGGCTCTTTGGGAATGAGAGAAGGTAAGGGATGAGTGGCTCATCTCCTCCTTGCATGCTTGTAGCAGCACCAGGGTTGCGTCCTGGTCACAGCCTGGATGGAGCAGGTGGAATTTGCCAGGTGAAGCCCCTTTGTATTCCAGTGCTCCTGCGTTCAAGGATGCCCGTCCACACCAGCCAGGTGGTGGGATGTCTTTAGTAGTGCCAGCGGGTGGGTGTCACCCTACCTGGCTGCTCTGGGGACAGCTGGGCTGAGGTGGGTGATCACAGAGTCACAGAATCATGGAATGGTTTGGGTTGAAAGGGACCTTAAAGCTCATCTCATTCCACCCCCCTGCCACAGGCAGGGACACCTTCCAGGTTGCTCCAAGCTCCATCCAACCTGTCCTTGGACACTTCCAGGGATGGGGCAGCCACAACTTTGGGCAACCTGTGCCAGGGCCTCCCAATCCTCACAGGGAAGGATTTCTTCCTAATATCCAATCTAAACCTACCCTGATGTTCAGTGGTGTGGGGTGCCCCTATTTGCTGTGCAGCCCACCCTCCCAGCCCACAGCGTGGCACACGCTGGCAGCCAGCACCATTAATTAGGTGAGTTCTCTAAATGGTGTTAGTGCCAGGTGTGTTACGCAACTGCCTAATGAGCTGAGAGAGGTTTCAAAATGTCACGGCATTAATCTGGGAGAGGCGGGTGCAGCGCCAAGGCAGGGCTGCAAAACAGCTCAGTGTGGAGGAGGACGGGGAGGGCGTCCGCGTGCGCCGGCGTGCCGGGTGCTCTCCGGGAGAGGCCAAGGACAGGCTCCACTTGCCCTGGGAGAGACACATTTGTGCAGTGAGGGCAGTGGAGCACACTGGGAGACAGGCCCCGGGTGAGAGGGCTGCCTGCCAGTCTGATTTTCCCGCCCCGGTTTTCCTCCGGGCATGTTCTCTCTCGCAGGGTTTCAGCAGGAGCTTCTCCTCTGTTTCTTCCCAGCCCCTAAAGGACTGTTTTCCAGCCTGGCTTCTGAGAGCTGGGAGCAGGTCTGGGGTGTACAGCACAGCTTTGTGCTGGTGCTGCCGGTCAGCAGGAGGATCCCAGACCTGGCCCAGAGCATGCACAGAGAGTGCTGGACTGGGAATAAATGAGGAGAGCTCAGGTTTGGCTTTCTCTGCCGTGGGAATTGGCCTTTCCTCAGGATTGAGGAGGAGGATGCCACACTGGTCTCTTGGCCACCCTGGCTGGGGACAGGGCTGAAAAAAGGGTGGTGGCTGCTGGTTTGCAAGCTGAGCTGGTGCTACCTGTGGGTGACATCCTGTCCCTGCTGGGTTTGGTTGCACAGGATGCCCTGGCCAGTGCCTGTCCCCAGTGTGACAGGACAGTGCATTCCTCCAGTGCCAGTGGTCCCTTGCTGCAGCTCTGGGGTATCATGCAACACTGGGATCATCCTGCACGGAGCTGGGGAGCAGATTTGCAACAGATAGCAGGGCCCAGGAGAGGACATTGTTGCCAGAGACTGTCCTTTTTTAATGTCAGCTCCACTCATTGCCTGCTGGCTGGTGTCTTTTCCCAGGGAAAGTCTGCTTTTCCCAGCCCAGCTGGGACTTTATCAGTATTGGCAGGAATTTCCCTGTGTCAGCCCAGAGCCTTTATCAGAGCAGGACGGGTGTAGGGAGAGGAGCAGGCACTGCACCAGGCACTGGGGACTGCCCATGGGGCTGAGCCCAGTCCAGCATTTGGGAGGGGGTGATGGCAGAGTAGGGTGAGGGGTCCCCATCTGCGGGAGGGATTGCAGCCTGCGGTGCTGGAGGCATGTGCTGTGAACAGGGATGGTTCAGTGGGTGTTTAGGGATGGGCACATTTGTTTTCTCCTCCAGTAACCTGGGAATTGGCCCGTGCAGGTGGTGTGGGTGCAGAGGTCCTGTGTCCCAGAGCTAGGACACTCAATGTTGGAGGTCTCAGGTGGACTCAACAGGGCACAGAGACATGGTCCAGCGTCGCACCAAAGAATTAACATTCCCCAGTACCCTGCTCAGCTTGGCTTGGCTGCTTTTTAAACTTGAGTTTACTTAGTCCCCATATCCCTCTCATTTTTCTCCTCTGAGCTCAGACTGTGCTGTTTGAGGTTGAGCAGATACAATAACTCACTTCCATGCTGTGGGGTCAGCTTTTTCCCCCTGGTTTAACACCATTTCTAATAATCCTTCTCAGTAACCCACTAACATGCCAGGGGACACTTGCCCAAAATCACGTGCCCCATGCCAACCCCAAAAGCACCAGTCAGGCATTGTTCAGATCTGCTTTTCAGTGCAGCCAAACAAACTCACTCTGATTCTGTTGGTATTTTCAGCTCTTCCTCCCATTTTTTTGTGTAAATCAGTGCAAGTGTCAGAGCTATGGATGGAAAAGAATTATTTTAGGTACCCAGTGCTGCATCCTTAGTGACACACCTTAGGCTTAGCTCCAGCTAAAGCTGTTTGTCAAGGCTTTTCCTCCTGCTTCTTTATGGTGAGAGTTATTACGTGACTTAAGTCCAGGAATTTTCCGTGTTGACCATTTATACCTGACTCTGCCTCCACGCCCCATGCAGACGTCTGAGCTCGCAGCCACTCAGAACCAGGAATCAGAAAACAGGAGATAATCTCCCTGATTTTGGCAGAGCGGCAGAGTACGAGTTCCCTCTGCTGGCACGTGGCAGGACGGGGCTGTGGCACCCACCGGGATGTCCCACCGGGCTGGGGGAGAGGGGCTGTGGCCAGAGAGGTCGAACCATCCCCAGTCTCCCATCTCAGAGCCATCCCTAGGGCAGAAGAGCAGGGGCAGCTCTTTGGAAACCCCGTGGATGAATCATGAAGTTTTGCATGCAAAATGACAGCTGAAGTGAGCTGCAGGGATGTCCTTGGACATCAGTCCCCATATCCCAGCGGGGCTCTGCAGCTGCGGGGATAAATCCTGGCACATCTCAGAGGAGGGTGCCAGCAGTTTTGGGGAGGAGACCACCATTGGATGGGGAGTCCCTGGGGTGCAGAGACCCAGAGCCTCTTCCTCTGGGTGTGCAGCTGCAGGCTTACCCACCTTTTGCAGCTCCCTGGGGAGCACCAGGATTTCTGTTTGGCAAGCTTGGCTTTTTTGCACAATTCCAGGGGTGCAGCCTCTAAATCCACAGCTTTCCCAGTTGACCCCATGTTCTTCTCACACATGCCCACTCTGGCATCTGCGAGACCTCCTGTAGCAGTGTGATCAGGGGCTGAGGTGTATTTCTAGCCTCAATAAAGAGCAGAACTGCCTGAAATCACTTGAGACTTTTTTCCCTCAAATTCCTTCTCTGGAGCTTCTTGAGATGCAAAGCTCAGCTCTGAATTCTGCTTCTCCCCATACATAGGAGTGTCTGCTCTCCCAAATATAGGGGTTTTTTCCTTGTAAAACTATCCTCTTCATACTTGTGGACCTCTTGGGAAAATTATCCTTTCTTTTCCTGACACTCACTATCTTTCTTGCTGCTAAATAATGAATGAATCCAATAAAAACAAGCCCTTTTTTTCCAATCAAAGAAAATCACTTTAACGATAGCTCGTGCTGGGTTTTAGAGCTTCCCTTCCCACTGCACACCCCCCACACTAACAGCAGAGATCTGCAGCCCGGGTTTAGTGGCCTGGAAAAGATTAACAGCCTGCATGGCCGAGGAATTCCTTGGGATGAGCTTTTGTAGTTGAAAAGCACTAAATGGCACCGCAGCTTTTAAAATGCTTCTTCCTACCTGTCCCAGCCTTGTTTTGTCCACATAGAGCTTCTGTGCAGAGGGAGCATCTCTCTCTGACAGGTTTTGGTGGGGAGGAGAGCCCTTCCCTCCCCATTCCCCCAGGATCTCTGGCAATAACATCTCTGAAATGTTGATCTAATGGGAAAAAGAAAGATTCTTTCCTGTAATCCGGATGATATTAACCCTTGGGGCTGTGATTTGGTTGCAGTGATTTATTTTTCTCCTCCCTTTTTCAATGACGAATGAACTGGAATGACTTTGATTTTGTTTTGTATGTAGATAGAGATATATAATTTCCTCTTCTGTTCATTCATTTTCCAGCCTTGTTTTCTTCCAGGTCTTGTTGCTCTCCACCTTCTCCTGCTGTGTTGCTGTGTGACGTGTCCACCTTTACTTCGCCTGCTTCGCTACCATCTCATCTCAATCTCAAGCCGTAGAACAACCTGGTGGTGCAGCCCCTTTCATGAGAAATCAACCTGCTTTTGATTTTGTTTTTATGGTTTTTTTTGGTTGGGTTTTTGTTCTTTATTTTTCTCCTGATTTGTTTTTTTCTTCAGGCCTTCACTCAGTAGGGCACAGACAATGTTAATTCATGGATCTCTTATTTCCTCCTGAACTGAGACTCAGAGAAGGCTGGGCCAGTGTTAAAAGGGTTAAAAAATTGGGACTCCAAAACAATTCCCTGCCTGTCAGTGAATAGAGAACATGGATTTATGTTCCACAGCCTGGCTTGTGTTGAACATCTCACAAGCAGAATATCCCAGGGAAACTGGGAGCTCTGCTCAAGCCCAGAATCTGCCCACTCCCAGTTTGCAAACTGGGAGGTAACAAGGGCTGAACAGATGTCCTGTAAAAGCATCAAAGATCTTTGAATTCACAAAGCAAAGTCTCCCCCACCAATTTTGTCCCTTCCTCTTTGGTTGTATCCTGGCAGCCTTGGCTCTGAGCAGCAGTGGGGGGCCCCCAGCCTCCCAGGGGATGTGATATGCTCAGACTGTTCCTCTCATTTATGGAATTTGGTGCAAATGTTGGTTGAAAACTGAACATTTCATGGGTTTTGAGCCCTTAACCTGCTGTTCCTTTTTGTGTGAAGTGTTAAAAATGGGGTTTTTTGGATAACCTGTTTCCCCTTATGTGGTTGCCATTGTGATTTTCATGCATGTTAGAGGTTTACACAGAGCAAGCAGCACCAAGGTTAAATGTGGTACAAGTGGTCTAAATTTTGTGTCAAGAAACCACCTGGATTGAGCTTTTTGGGGAGGTTTGAAATGGACCTTTAAACCTCACAGCTTGGAGCACAGCTGGCATTTGCTGGTGGTGGGTTATTGCTTCACATTCCCAGGTTGTGATTAAGGACCTGAGGTTGATTCTTGCCTGAACCCCTGGGAATGCAAACTCAGACACCAGCAGGTGCTTTGAAAATTCTGGGGCTTCCTCTCCTGTGGGTCAGCGAGCGGCTTTTCATGCTGAACCAACACTTTTAATTCTACCTGCAAAGGCCTATTTGCTCATCCTTAGGAGCATCCCATTTGTTTTTGTCCAGGGTTGGCTCCCCCTCCATCCACATTTCTTCATAGTTCTCCATCCTCAGATACACAAGTGCCACAGTATGATGAGCCACCAAGGCAGTGTCTGAGAGACCCAAGTTGTGCTCCCTGCTCTCCTTATTGGATGTACAGCCCAGTTTAGAGGAGGGAATGGCCCCAGGTTTTTCAGGGAATGCCCTGCCATGGCACAGGGTGCTCCTCATCTCATTCCCCTTCAGCTGGTGCATCCTGCAAGCCAGACCCATGATCTGGAGGCACCTATGGACAGTATTCACTCCATGCAATCCTGTGGCTGTTCCCTGTGTGGGGCTGAGTTTTTAGAGGGTACCTATTGCAGGGAAACCTGACCCACCTTTATTTCTGCACCCCAGCTTGGTCTGACGTATCAGTGCTCTGTGGCCTGGGGGGGCCGTCGATAGCTGCAGTGCTAAAGGAGAGAGCCAATGCTTAAGCCAAAGCTGCTCCATAGTCCCTGCTTCCCAAAGGGCTGTAAAATTCACAAATAAAAAGTTACTGTTGGTTTTGCAAGGGTTTTCTAGTTATTGAAGGTGCTACCTGTGGAGCTAAATAGTGTGAGGATTTTTTTCCCACTTTGGCCATGGGTGAAAGGATGTGTGTCAGGGGTTTTACCCTGGATTTGGGCACACTGGAGCCCGCAGAGGAACAGGGACCAAAAGCCAGGTGTGCATGAACACTGGGTCAAGCAATTCCGCAGCCTTGAATTTGTGGGGTTGTGCAGCTCCGCGCAGTTGCCGCTCCTGTGTTTAAACCTTCTCCGGTTTCCTCTTTCTCTCTGTTTTCCAGGCGATCCCAGGTAATTGAAAAATTCGAGGCATTAGATATTGAGAACGCGGAGCACATGGAAACAAACGTGCCGGGAGGGGCTGCCCTTTCCAGCGAGACGCGGCAGGGCAGGAGCGAGAAGAGGGTTTTCCCACGGAAACGGGTGAGCTGCCCGGCTGAGGTCTCCTGGTGGGCTTTGGGGGATGGCACCTGGGATCCTGCAGCACAAGATAGAGCATTCGGCTCTAGGGTTTGTCCCTGGGTGTGGATCTGGAGTCGCAGGCAGCTCCTGCAGGAGCCACGTGCTGTGTGTGCTCAGTCTCTGCAGGTTTGCCACTTGCTGCTCTGCTCCCTTGGCCCAGGTGTAGATCAGAGTGGAAAATCAGGCTGTCTTTTCTCCTTTCTCCAAAATATAAAGGGAAACTTCAGATCTGGCATGGCCAGGACACATCAGGATGGGGTGAAGTAACAAAAGAAACAGGCAGGTTTGAGAGTCCCAGATACGCTTGGATATATTGGGAACAAATTAATGCCTGAGAGGACAAAAAATTGTATTGCCAAAGAAATGACACTTGTTCTGAGGCTGAGATGCCCCTTAAATAAAGTAGATTTTTATGCCATGAGCCAAGAGAGCAGGACTCTGTCCTAGTTCCTGCACTGATCTGGGCTAATTCTGTTCACACAGGACTTCACTTGCGAAGGAGCGGCCGTGGGCTCCATCCTGGACGTGTCTGCATCTCCCCTGTCCCCACATCGCCGGGCAAAGTCACTGGACAGAAGGTCCACGGAGTCCTCTATGACGGTGAGCCAGGGGACCGTGTCCCCTGCCTTTTGGGAGGACATGAGAGGCCTTTCCCCAGCGGGTCCAGTGAAAACTGCACTGTCTGCTGCTTTCCTCACGGCCAGCACGTAGGACGTGGGTTATGCTCACATTTGGAGCAGGTTTCAGTGACCCAGGTCAGATGTGACCAATCCTGTGAGTCACAGGGGCTCAGCTGGAGAAGAGCCACACTTTTTGCCTGTTGCAGAAATTAAAAGACTGAGTCTTGCGAGGAGCCCTTTTCCTCAAAGTACAGCAGGAGCTTGGGAAGCAGCCCCGTTTTGCTTGTTGTTTTCCCCTGGAATACCCAATTTCCTCAATGCTTTGCTTGGTGTGTTAGACCCTGATGCTGTAGGTCACCCTGAAGGTGCTGAGGTCACCTTGCCTGGCCAGAGCCCCTTTTGGCCCTGTGCTGTCCCCCGGCAGAGGCTGCAGCAGGGTATTTCCAGCTCAGCAGAGGGTCAGTCCAGTTTCAGGGCTTGGACCAGCCACTGGGTCATGACTGATGCATTTTCATAGAATCACAGAATCCTAGAATGTCTTGGGATGGAAGGCACCTTAAAGATCATCTCGTTCCAACTCCCCTGCCACGGGCAAGGACACCTTCCACTCAGCCAGGCTCTTCAGAGAGTTTTCAGAGAGCCAACACATGTCCCAGTTTTCTAATGCCACTTCCTTAATGTTTATGCTGTTGGAAGTGGGTGTGAGTGGGATGAAGGCTGCAAGGAAGGGCTGAACCTGCCCTCCTGAGCTTTCCTCCCTTTGCATATTTCAAATGCTCACCAGACCTGGAGGCAAACAATACAGAACAAACACAAAATGCTCTCCTTTCCCTCACCACCCTTCTGCAGGGACAAAATAAATACACTTGCTAATCTCTCGGATAGATTACAGAGCTACTGTAAATACAAGTTGCATTTTTTGCGGACAGACAGCTTCTATTCAAGGACTTATGAGAATAATGCACTAGCCGGCGTTTCTGGAGCTTTTTGGGTAGACTTGTACAGCCACAAGAGTGAGTTTTAAATTCTTGGTGAGAATAAAAAGGTGCAAGAAGTGCATATGAAGTGGCAGTGCGCATTATCTAGTGAAGGGAAGAAAATCATGCAGGTTTAGATTAGGTATTAGGAAAAAATTCTTCCCTGTGAGGGTGGTGAGGCCATGGCCCAGAGTGCCCAGAGAAGCTGTGGCTGCCCCATCCCTGGAAGTGTCCAAGGCCTGGTTGGGTGGGGCTTGGAGCAACCTGGGCTAGTGGAAGGTGTCCCTGCCCATGGCAGGATGTTGGAAGAAGATGATCTTTAAGACCCCTTCCAACCCAAACCATTCCATGATTCTGTAATTCAATGAATTACTTTCCTTTGTGTTTTTGTGGAGCAGGACTGGGTTCCCACCACCATGGGTTTATTCACATGTGGGATGTGCTGCCTCACAGCACAGGTTTGATTGAATGGGCTTCCAGACCCCAATTTCCATTTCTCCCCTTGCTGTAGCCAGTTTCAGACACTGCAGCTGGATTTCACACACTGCTGTCCTTTTTCCTTCTCCTCTCTGCAGCACGTGGAGCAGCTGGAGGAGCTCAGCCTCGAGGGAGTGAAAGCATTTCCACCACATCCTTCCCTGTACACGGGCAGGGCTGGGAGGAGGGTCTGGCAGCAGTTATCCCACGCTGTCTTGGTTGCTTTTCTCAGAGATTTGACATCCCCATGTACCTACTTTGGAGGAAAGAGCAGGTGTTGTTTGTGTGGTGCAGGGCTCAGATTCCCTGCATTTCCAGCCTTGGGAACTCAGCCTGTTTTGAACCCTGCAGCCTTGCATCAACAGCACGTAGTTTTTCTTTCATAATATATAACAGAGGGACAAAACTGCCTGAAGTCTTGGTAATTCACTTTTCTCCTTCCTCTGTTATGCTGGTGGAGCAGTAGGAAATTGTGAGAGAAAATGGTAGGACGGGAATAGCTGAGTATACCATGCAGCAGGTGTCTGCTCCTCCTGGGTGCAAACATTTAGCCACCATGCAGTGTAATGATGCAGTCTGGACTAGATAACCTTTAAAGGTCCTTTCCAACCCAAACTATTCTATTATTAAATTCTGTGAATTTAACTGTTGCTGGTCTCTTTTATTGATGCACTGTGTTTTATCAAGTCACTTCTGTTGCCTTCTGGGTGCAGACACTTCTTCCCTCTCCTCTGATCCCTCTCTCCTTTCTTCCAGCCCGACCTACTGAACTTCAAGAAGGGCTGGTTGACAAAGCAGTATGAGGATGGGCAGGTGAGTCAGGGGGAAGCTCTGCCCTTCAACTCACTCCAACATCCTGGCTGTGCCAGCGGCACATGGGGCTGCTCTTGGCACTGACAGAGCCCCGATGTCCCTGCTGGGTAGATCAGCCTTGGAGTGAGAACTGCTGGTCCTCTGTCCTGGGGAGGTTTCAAAGCCCCACAGGTGGATATTGTATCGTGGGTTTCTAGGGAGCCAGGGCAGCTTGGATAGCAGCACTGGTTTCATGTTGCTGTTTTCTATTTATCTGTCTCATCTCCCTTGCAACCCAGCGACCTCTTTGGTGACAGTAGTGAGGCTCAGGTGAAGTCTCCTGAGTACCAGGGAAATGACAAGGCCAATAAATAAATAAATAAATGAATCCCTCTAAGTTGGCACCGAGGGAAGCAGCTGATGCTGTTTTCTCGCTGTCTGTTACCGAAGGGATGTGGGATGTGCTGCTCCATCAGAGCCTTAGTCATGGGCACTGATGCCGAGGCAGCATGGATGGTCCTGGCTGTTTGTAAACTGCCCCTTCCCTGGATTTCCTTCCCTGGATTTCCTTCCCTCCTGCTCAGCTGCTGAGGGAAAATGAGGGTGACTTGCCTGTGGCTGTGAGTGCCATGGCCTGGGCTCCGCTGTGGGTACTGGGGCTGAGGGCACATCCATAGGCAGCCGAGGGGGAACTGGCCACTGGATTGTGCTTTGTTGACTGAAAGCTGCCTTAGGTGAGCCTGTGCCTGGCTGGGAGCATGCAGGAGGAGGATTTGTATAGAGTAAGGGCCAGGAATAGGCTCTAACTCATTTTCTAGGTACTGCAGATAAAACATGAATGTTTTACTGCTTTTCTTTTGTTGTTGTTAAAAAGGTTTTAAGTACAGTCACTAAAAGCATCGTGTTGCAGTGGAGCTGCTGGGAAGGCTCCGACTGCCCCTGTGGCTCTCACCATGTGTCACCGTCACACGCAGGGTTGGTGCTGCTGAGGGTGGAGCACTCTGTAGAGTGGCAGCACCAGGGAATTCAGGGTCCTGGGGGTGCAAACCATCACTGTCCCTTGCCTTGCTGCCTGTTTGGGTCTCCCCTTCCTGTCAGGAGGGTTTCAATGAAGCCAAGTGTGGAGCTGGGAGGGGAGAGGCGTTGAGCTGCTTCCCTGTGGGGCATCTCTGCCAGCTGACCTGTGACAAGAGCCACTGTGTTTCGCTGGTGGGGAAAGGAGCAGGATTGTAACTGCCCCATCTTGGTTGTTTCCTAGTGGAAGAAGCACTGGTTTGTACTGACTGACCAGAGCCTGAGATACTACCGGGATTCGGTGGCAGAGGAGGTAAGTGTCTTCCTGTCCATGTTCAACCCATCACTGCACCCGGGGGAGCTCCCAGTTCTCCCAGACTGCCCCCTGGCAGGCTGGCTTCCCAAGGTCCTGGAGCATAGCTCTTCAGGGCTTTGTGCTTCCCAGGGACCTGCTGTGCCTCCCTGTGAGCCCACTGCACTTCGGGGCTGCAGAGCTCTGTGGCTTTATTTTACCTCTTCCCTCTGCAGGCAGCTGACCTGGATGGAGAAATCGATTTATCCACGTGCTACGATGTCACTGAGTACCCAGTTCAGCGGAACTACGGCTTCCAGATCCATGTAAGGAAAATGTGGGAAGGAGGAAGAGTCTGACTGCAGCTGATGGGGATGCTTGTCTGTGACAAGGAACGTCCCCAAACAGCCAAGAAAGGCCACCCAGCAGCCCCCAGACTATTCCAGAGAGCTGTGGCCTTGGGTCTGAGAGCTGTTTTTTTGTCTGGGGGAAAGGGAAGGAGGGAAGGCAAAGATTTGTTTCAGCCTTAGGATCTCAGCTGTGATAAAATTAGCCTGATTGCTGAGAAACACTAATTCCCACCAGGAGCATGCTGGGGGATGGAGGGGCTGGGTGCGACCTCTGTTTGGCCAGCAAGCAGTGGCCCAGCACTGTGGGCTTGGGACTGGGTGCAGAGTGGTTTTGGGATGGTGCTGATGGGTGCAATCAGCTGCTCTGAGCTGTTCCTCCTGTCCCTAGACGAAGGAAGGGGAGTTCACCCTCTCTGCCATGACGTCGGGCATTCGCCGCAACTGGATCCAGACCATCATGAAGCACGTTCGCCCCACCACTGCTCCTGATGTAACAAGGTAAGGGGGGCGTGTAGCAGCCCCTGCAGTTGTGTGGTTTGCTGTGCAGGAGTAACTCTTCCCTCATCCCTTTTTTTTTCCTGTTTCTGAGCCTGTCCGTTCCTGGAAGCTGCGGCTCTTTCTCACGTCCCTCTCTCTGGGCTAATTTGGATACACTTTGTGGGGACACTGATATGCTGAGTTATTCTTACACGTACAGATTTCAAAGAGGGTTGAAAATGTGGCTTTAATTTGTGCATAGGAATATGAAACACTGTTTCTATATCAAGGCTCCTTTGGATTCTCACCAGGTATTGTGAAACCACTTGGATTCAGTTGTGCTGGGTTCCCCCTTTCCTCTGGCTACTGTTCAGCACGAGCTGCCCAGCCCCTCCACGGGTCATGGCAGCAGGAGCCCAGGGTTCAATTTAGAAGCTGTTTGGCTCTGATCTGTTTTAAACTCCAGCCAGCAAATCGTCTCCCCTCCTGTTTTGATCTTCCAGAAGCTGCCGCAGCTCTTTCCCCTTACGCGTTAGTAACGCTGGTGTCTCCTCCTGTGTCAGTGCCAGAGGAAGAGAGCCCCTGCGTCACAGAGTACCTTCTGTGGGCGCTTGTGGCTGTGGGTACAGGGTGTTTGGCCTCCTCACAGCTGACCCTGCTGGCCACACTCATATGGGCCACCTCTTACAGGCTGCATGGACATGGCCACACCACTAACTCCATCTCCTGTCCTTACTGTAGCTGCAGCGAGCAGGTTTTTGCCAGATTTGTCCCCGAAGTTCATGGAATGGCTCTTCTCACTCAGTGCTCTTGACCTGGAGATGCTCCAGCCTCTCCTTTCCTATCCCCCTTGGCACTCAGCCACTGTTTCCCAGCCCTACCCGAGCTCTGGTGGATCTCGCGGGGGTCTCGGGGAAGCCGCCTCTCTCCTCACTCCTGTGTATGTTTGATTTCCATGCAATCCCAGGAAAAACTTCTCTTTGAAACTATCCGTGCTGAAGCCCAGGTTGGAAAACTGTGTTCTCTCCTGTATTAACGTTCTGTGGTTTGTATATCTCGTGATTCACTGCATGCTCCTCCTTTTCTGCACCTCGGATGAGAAGTCCTGCAGTTTCCATTTATTTTTCTTTCTTTTCTTCCCCCCTTCCTTTTTTTTTTCTTTTTTTTTTTTCTTTAAATAAAAGCCAGAGAGAAGGGAAGAAGCAACCTGGTCTTGACCCTTGATTTCCCCACACTGGTATCTTCCGATGTGACTAGATATGAAGATGAAGACCAAGGAAATTTGAGGGGACCTCTCTGCCTTTAAAGAGCCAGATGTATTTATGGTTGCTCACAGGTTACTGCAGCACGATAGTCCTGTGCTCACTGTCTGCACCTGCTCTGAGCCCACACAAAGTGGTTTCACTTGGCTTTCCCTCTTGAGAGGGTCCAAGCGCAGGTCCCGGCTGGGCAGTAACTTGTTACGCTGCACAGATAGACTGTGGATTCATCCTGAGCTGGGAAAAGGGAATTATGTGTGTGCTTCTGTCGTTTCCCACCGAGCTGGTTTTGGATGGGGTGGAGGCTGGCGTGGGTTAGTCACGTTGCTGAGAAGTCCTGTGCTGTGTGTGCAGCAGGGCTGTGTTCACCTGGTGTGGGGTATCCCAGCGCATCCCACCTGGCTTTGGGATGCCATTACATTCCGCACCCGGGGAGTGGCTTGTGAAGGGGGCTGCTGGAAGGCTGAAGGACAGACTGCACTGCCCAGGGCTCATGATGAAGGGTGGCAAATGTTGGCACAGTGTGACTGGGGTGCAGGAGGGATGTTAGTCCGGGTGCTCAGCGTGCCGGGAGGGCGATGGTGTTCACCCTGTCCCCAGGGCCTGTCCCATCCTGCACTCTCCTGCAGCCCTTTGCCGTATCTCATTAACCTGCTGCCGTGTCTCCACCGAGCCAAACACACCTTTTCTTGGTTTCTCAAGTCCTAATGACTGTTTATATTGCTGTGTGTGTCAGCACCCAGCATGGGGAGCAGAAGCTGTGCTGCTGCCTGCCCTCAGCAGTGCCCTGCTGTCTGCAGAGACACTCATTACACTCTGCTAACGATGACAGGGCAAATAGAAAATACCCCCAAGAAAGCACTGGATCCATATTTAGCTCACAGCCCTGGTGAGGCTGAGTTCCCCAGTGCTCCCCCAGTTCCCTGCAGCCTTCATGAGCTTCTTGCCACGGTGTGCTCAGCTCGCAGCTTGCACTGCTCCCACACCCACCCCTATTAAAAAAAAACCTTTTTATTTTGACCTATAAATAACATTTGGAGGCGAAGACCCCCCCCCTCCCATGTGATGTGAATTAGTTTGTCTGGGATGGAGGAGATGTGAAGTGTTTGAGCAGAATTCATAGCCATGGGGCACTTGCAGGAGATGAAATGAGAAACTTTGGGTCAATCTCCTGAGTCTCTTCACTCCACTCCCAGCAGCTGTCCCTCCACTCCCTGACACACATCCCGTGCCCTTTGGAAAGCAGCAGAGGAGAAATGAGCTTGTGAGAGATGTCATCTCTAGAAATGCTGAGATTCTTTCATGTGGGATTTAAAGCAGCATAATTTCTATGTCCCAACACCATCTGAGGGGCCCCGAGACCCACATTTTTTTCTAACACTCATCTCCATATTAAGACTCGGTCTCATCCCCGTTTTACTTCTTCAAAATGCAGCTGTAATCACTAACTGACTCCAGATTGAGAGCCTGGCTTTGGAGTCGTGGCTGAGGAGCAGCGATGTTTCATCGTGGTGCCTTTTGGGTTTATTTTATTAGCTGCAAGTGACAGCGCTGAAGAAAGAATTATCTCTGAGCTGGTTTTAGCCTGTAACTGCCAGAGTTTCTCAAAACCCAGCTCTACTGAGCCTGTGGTTTGATGGTGGATGACAGTGCATCGGAAGATACTAGCCCGGGCCCCACGCAGAGCCATCTCTTCCGCTCCATCCTTTGTTTTGGGCATATGCACATCCATGAGGTTGTTGGCTATGGGAGCTGGGGTGTGTTCCCGAGGCGGGAGAAGCCGTGATGCTGCTGCTGCTCCCGGTCACGGCGGTCTTGATGCATGTGGTCCCAGGGCCTGCCGTGAAGGGCCCAGGGAGCTGCTTTCCAGCTCTCCCAGAAAGCTTGTTGAGGATGTGCTGGAGGCTGGACCCCAGGAGGATGCTGTGGTTGGAGGAAGCAGGGAGAGCCAGGAGTCAGCCTGAGCAGAAGTGCTGTGCCTCAGGAGGCATCTCGGGGGGCTTCAGACAGCAAAGAGGGTTCAGCAAGTACCCACCACTCCTTTGGGACAGGCTTCCTCCACAAACTTAGCATACTGCTGTTTTCTGTTTTAATTTTGATGTGCATGTTACAAGGCTGGCATGTCCACATTTAATAAGCTAATACTGCATTATGGATTATCTGTAGGTTGGAAACGGTACTGCCTTCCCGTATTAACTTCCCCTGCTTGAGAAGTATGTCTCCCCCCTCAACCCACCACCTTCTAACTCAGCACTAAAAATCATTCCTTGCTTGAGAAATCAGCATTTTCAGTGATTACCATGGTGTGTTGAAGAACTTGCTCTCCCTGCTGCACTGACCCCTGCACATACAGGACGCATCCCGGTGCTGGGGGGGCTGCCCATGAGGCTGGGTGCCCCGGGGAAGGTCTCTACCTTCAGTGCAGATAGTGGCACGGAGAAGTTTTCGACCCACTAGTATTTTTCCAAGCTCAAGGGAAACCTTCCCCTTGTTTCCCAAGAGCTCTTGGAGCTGCTCTGTGCTTCTCCGCCCCACAGCTCCAAAACCAGCCTGACTTTGGTGGGATTGGTGGCATCCTCCCTGCAAGCACGTGACTATTGCCCTGTCAACTGGCAGATGTGCATGGAGCCCCACAACCAGGGTGCTGGAGGAGCTTTCGGAGCCTCTTCCCCCGCTGGCAGCACAGTTTGAGGTCGCTGCCTTGGCCACGGGCTGCTGCTGGGTCGTGGTCACTGGCCCTGGTGTGGCTGCTGAGGAGGAGCAAGGTTGGGATCAGCCACTCTCTGGGGGCTCGGGGGTCTCGGGAGCAGCTGGGACCGCTTGCACCGAGGCTTTGCACACCAGCACGACCCCGGGGAAGGGCAGCGGAAGCTCCTGCACCCAAGAGGCGACAGGAGATGGAGGGGCAAAGGGGCACCCACGTGGCATTGGCTTGGGCTTCCAGCAGCCCCTTTCCACCCGGCTCTCCGAGGCATGCATGGGAGCGCCTGGCCATCTCCAGCACCCACTGACACTTTCCTTCACCCTCTCTCTGTCCTCACAGCTCGCTGCCGGAAGAGAAAAGCAAAACAAGCTCTTCCTTCGAGACTAGTCCAAAGCCGAGCGAGAAGCCAGATGCGGAGCAAGCTGAGCTGGACCCGGAGCAGAAGCGGAGCCGTGCTCGGGAACGCCGACGAGAAGGACGGTCCAAGACCTTTGACTGGGCTGAATTTCGCCCCATCCAGCAGGCCCTGGTGCAGGAGCGTGCGAACGCTGCAGACTCCTCCAGTGGCGGCTCAGCCGCCTTCCCCAGGGACACCGGTGCCACCGACGCCGACCCGGGAGAGCTGGAGCGGGAGCGGGCCCGGCGGCGGGAGGAGCGGCGCAAGCGCTTCGAGATGATCGATGCTGTGGACGGGGCAGGGTCAGAAGAGGCACTGAGGATGGAGGTGGACCGGATCCTGCCCGTCCCGGCAGACATCAAACCGCAGAACGTGCATGTGGAGATCGAGCAGCGCTGGCACCAGGTGGAGACCACCCCGCTGCGGGAGGAGAAGCAGATCCCCATCACGCCCCTGCACCTCGCCCACGCCGAGGACCGGGACGAGGGGCTGGCGAAGCAGCACCTGACCACGCTGCTGGAGAAGGAGGTAAAGGGGTGTGTGGGGTGCAGGCTGCCTGCCAAAATGGCCTCCAGGCCACGGTGGTCGCTGTAGGAAGTCTGGGATAGGCTTAAAAAAACTGCATTTATTGCTGCCTTGTAGTAGCAACAAGTAGGGATGCTGTAGGTCCTCTGGGAACTAGCAAGATCCATGTCCATTCCAGTTCAGCTCTGCCGGCAGCTTTCATGTTCCCACGGTTGCAGAAAGGGCTGTTCTTACAGCCTGGTACTTCTTTGCCCCCTCCCAGCCAACTCAGCCAAATTTGTGTTGGTTTGTAGCCAGTCTGTGTCTGATGAGATGGGTATAATCGAAGTGTATCAAACAGACCCCAAATTCAAGCTCTCAATCCTGTGTGCCTCTGCAGCTGCAGATTTGTGTCTGCAGTTATAAACTGCCTTGAGTTGTAGCACACGCCACAAAGGTTCCCTTTTTGTGGAGCCTACATCAAACAGTGTTGCAATTTTAGGAAAAGAAAGGAGGAGATTCAGCTCACTTGGAAGAGGTCCATGCCTGGGATAACAAAGGTGGTTGTTAGTTGGGATTAAGGTGTATTAGCAGGAATGAAAGGGGTGCAGGCATGGAATAACCAGGAGTATCACCGAGCTGAACCGGGCAGGGATTTGCCGGGGTCGTGCCTGGCACGAGCTGGTGCTGTTCATCCTTTGCTGCAGTGAGCTTTACGAATTACACTAATACACAGTTTAGTTCCTTCAGGGGGGGAGGGACTTTTCCTGGCAAAATGAAATCCAGATTCCAGAGCAGAGCAGAGCAGCGGTGCCATCAAAAGCCCTGTTCATTCTGCTCTGTGTCCCCTCCAAGCCGCTTGTTCCTTATGGCTGGCCCCCTGCCCACTCCCTGGACGCTGTCTCTGTTCGTGTCCCTCCAGCTGGAGCAGAAGCAGAAGGAGGCCCTGGAGCTCCTGGAGCAGAACCGGCACCTGCAGGACCAGCTGAAAGTGGCGCTGGGCCGGGAGCAGAGCGCCCGGGAGGGCTACGTGTTGCAGGTAGGAGAGCAGGGAGGAGAGAGAGATCCGCCTTCCTCTGCACCCGAGGGGATCCCTGGTGGGCTTCAGTCTGGGGTGTTCCTGGGGATATCCTGGGTGACACAGGGACGTGCACCACTGAGCGGGCTCCGAGAGATTTGACCTTGCAAATGTTGCTAGTTCTGTAGCTTTACCAGAATCATCTGCTGAACAAAACCTCTGATCTGGGATGGGGTAGGAGGTAGCATTACCTATTGGCATTCCCGAGGGAAGACAAAACACAGCTGTGATAGGCAGAGGGACCTCAGCAAAGTCCACCTCTGATCCATCCCATACTGTGTTTGCCTCTGCAACAGCTGTCTCCCCCTTTCTGTTCCCCACATATTCCCCTCAGGAAGTGGGGTGCACACAAGGCTTTCCAAGTATCCTGTAGCCCAGCAGTTGCTCCTGGCTGGGGATTTTGTGTGACAGTTACACGGGCAAACACAGCATACTCAGCCATATCTCCCAGGCATGTTCCCTGCAGCCAGAGTGGGATTTGCACGAGGACAACCTGGTGTCTTAGGTCACTTCGGTGGTTTCTTCTGTTACAAGATGCCTTTCCTCAGCTAAGCCTAGAAATGAGTTTTGGAGGATCTGACAGAAGAGACAGGATGGTCTCTTGGGAAGCCTTCCGTCCTCCAAACAAAGTGAACTTTTCCCAGCCCTTCCTTTGGGAACATCCACGCCGAGAGGAGCTGTGACACCCGCAGGGCAGCTTCTGTCTGCTCTTATGGGTCCACAGTCCTGTTCTGTGGAGGGGCAGCATTTTGGCCTGCTCAAATCTACTTGACCAAACTGGCTGTGGATCAAAGTGCCTCGTGCGTGGCCAAACCTTGCATTCCCGTGGCAGCAAAACCGGTGTCAGCGCCAAACCTTGAGTCCTTATTTCTCACAGGAAAATTTCCCTTGAAGAAGTTGCACAGGCAGTGGAGCCAGCCCTGGGAGGGGGACATCCTGCCTTCCTTGCCCATGATCTCCCAGGGGGAGTTATTAATTCATTTATTTCTGGAGTCTCCGAGCTGACAATGCCTGCTTGGAGGAGTTCCACTTTCACTTGGCAGTGCTGGAAGAGTAACTAACTCCCACTTCCCTGGGGCAAAGGCATCCAACCTCCCTTTGCCTGAAGCATGGAAAAAAATCAGGGAATGGGGCTAAAAGCTGGATGCTGAATCCACCATCAGATTGTCTGTGCTTAAGTTGGTCATAGTGCCTCAATATGAGGAGGGGTAGCAAAAGGGGAAGTGTGCAGAGGGGCTGGGCAAATCATTGTTGCCGTGAGCAGTGACCCAAACTTGGACCTGGAAGTTGGAGAGGGTTTTTGGAAGGGTTGGAGGATTTTGCCTGCTCCAGTTTAATTGTTCTGGGGATTTCCCTTGTATTTCCTGGGAGCCAGAGGGATTAAAATCCTATTGTAGAAGGGAGTAACCCCACCAAAACATGCTGGGGTGGAGGGAGTGGAGTCACTGAGGAAATTCTGCAGCCCCAGACTGCAGGCAAACATCACAGCATTTTTTTTGGACAAACCCTCAGAATTTCATGTGCCCCCACCTCCATCATGCCTAATTTCGGGGAGGTTCCTACGTTTTCTCTGGGGAGGGGTGATGGAGGAGCCTGATGCTGCCAGCCCATCCCTCCTGAGCTGCCCGGGGGGCACCAAGCCCGTTTCACAGGGCAACCACTGACACCCACCCGATGCATGTGCCGTCCACCGAAGCCTCTCCGGCCTCGTGTAACCCCTCTCTTGCTCTGAGCTTCCTTGGGACCCCAACTTTGATCCCTACTGGGAGAAATACCGGGGGGCTCCTGCTCCTCACAAAGGGACTGGAGACATCCCCCGGCTCTGGCCACGGTGGGTGGGAGGGGGCACATACTAACCTGTCCCAGGCGGATGTTCTTGCATGTTTTTGGTGTAAAGCATGAAATTTAACTTAACATAACTGAGTGTCACATCTGTGGGCTTTCCTTATCAGCAACCAGAGTACAGCAAGGCAGGCCAAATTCCCAGGCTTAACGCTGTGCTTCTCTCGCCTCTTCCTGTCTGTGTATTTTATTTTTTTTTTAAGATACATAATTTCTGTCGCCTTTTGCATGACGCTTTCTGTGAGTTTTCTTTTTGCATGCTCCATTGCTTTGGTTTGAATCTCACAAAGGTTGGTTTCTTTCATTTTTACATTCTCATCACACCTTTTCCCTCCCTGCACTTGTCGGGCTTCTTATTTTGTCCTTTGTTGGTTTATTTTATTTTGCAGGTAGAGAAATTAGATCCTCCCTAGCCTTAAGCTTTAGTGTAACAGCATCTCTTTAATGCGTTGAGCAGCCACTCAGTCCTGTTCTGCAGGCACAGAAATGACATCTCCACCCCAGCTGGCCCGTGTCCCTGTGTTTGGGTGGGATGTGATGTCATTTGCTGTCACCTCACTTTCTGTTGTTGCTTTTGGTTGGTAGGACTGTGTTACCTGAACTGTGCACTTTTTGTTTCACAACCAAATGAACAAACCTGCTAAAAAAAAAAGCAGTTCCTTTCTCCTCCACCTTGTTCCATCCCCTCCTCCTCCTCATCCTTCCCATTTTTCTCTTGTGTGTCTGTCTCTGTTTTACTGCTGGTGTTTCTGTTTCATTGTTTTTTGGTTCTGTTTGAGTTTGGGTTTATTTTTTTTTCCTTTTAGCCTGTTACTGTACAGCTGTTTTGATGTCGTGGTCAGTGTTTTCTGTTACTGGAAAGCAGTTGTTGCTCATTAAAAAAAAAAAAAAAAAGAAAAAAAAATGAAAAAAGTAAAAAAGTTGGTTAAACAAAATAAATTGTGCCAAGAACAAATCATCCCAATTGGAGCATGTGAGTAGCAGCCAAATCGCTGCAAGGAGCTTTTCCATGGCCTGCCTGGCCAGAGGTGTGACACTCAGAAGGGAAAGCCAGGAGTGTTACTAATCTAGTATTTAATCAATTTTTTTAAGACCGAGGTGGCCGCCTCGCCATCAGGTGCCTGGCAGAGGCTCCACAAAGTCAACCAAGACCTCCAAAGCGAGCTGGAAGCCCAATGCCAGCGTCAAGAGGTGATCAATCAGCAGATTCAGTCGCTGAAGCGCAGCTACGCCGAGGCCAAGGACGTGATCCGGCACCACGAGGCCGAGATTCAGAGCCTGCAGGCGAGGCTCAGTAACGCGGCGGCCGAGCTCTCCATCAAGGAGCAGACCCTGGCCAAGCTCAAGAGCGACCTGAGGAGCGAGAAGGAGAAAGCCAAAGAGCAGCTGGAGGAGTGGCAGCACGGCGAGGCCGCGCTCAGCTCCCAGCTGAAGGCCAGCGAGCAGAAGCTGAAGAGCGTGGAGGCTCTGCTGCTGGAGAAGACCCAGGAGCTGCGGGACCTGGAGATGCAGCAGGCCCTGCAGAGGGACCATCAGAAGGAAGTGCAGCGGCTTCAGGACAGGATCGCGGACCTCAGCGGGCAGCTGAACGCCAGCGAGCAAGCGCGGGTCCTCATGGAGGAGAAGCTGCAGAAGAACTACGAGGCTTTGCTGGAGAGCTGCGAGAGGGAAAAGCAGGTTTTGATACGGAGTCTGAAGGAGGTGGAGGACAAGGCCAACGAGTACGAGAACCAGCTGCAAAACAGTGCGCAGCAAATGGAGATTCTGCAGAAGGAGAAGCTGAGCGCCAAGTTCGAGGGCAGCGAGCTGGTCCACCAGCTGGAAGAGCAGCTGGTGATGAAGGAGGCCAGCATCCAGAAACTCGCCGAGCACATCAAGGAGCTCGAAAGGGAGAGGGATCAGATCAAATGTCGGTTCCACGAGCTCATGAATCAGGTTGCCGAGTCAGATAACGAAGTTGCAAAGCTACAAGCAAAGTTGAAAATGGAAGAGACCAACTACCACAACCTGGAGCAATCGTTGGAGGAGGTGTCGGATCAGTTCCGGGGTGTGCAGGAGGTGCTGAAAGAGAAAGAAGAAGAGCTGAGACACGTTAAGGAAATGCACTTGAGAATTGTGGAGAAGAAAGATCAAGATCTCAGTGAGGCTTTGGTTAAAATGGTTGCTTTAGATAGCAGTTTAGAGGAGACTAAAGTAAAGCTAAAGGCCAAGGAGGAGGCTCTAAAGAAGTTAGCTAGTGTGGGCACAGGTCCATGTGCTGAGGAGGCAGAAGACCTTGGCCCCAGTCTTGAGGCTGACGAAAGTCATCCATCCCAACTGGGGCAGGCTCTGCAAACTCAGGATGTCCTCCCGGCTCTGACTTATGCACTGAAGGAGGAGGAGGATGAGGTTCTTGAGACCAGCCAGAGGCAGGCAGAGGAATTCGGCTCCCCATCCAAAGCTCTAGAGCTCCAGGACCAAGAGTTGGTTCAGAAAGCCTTAGCAAAGCCTGATGTGGGAATCATGGGAGCCAAGAGGCAAAGGATCCGTTTCTCGAGCATCCAGTGCCAAAAATACATCCATCCAGATGGAACAGAGAAAAACTGGACAAGCAGTACCTCTTCAGACACGAGCCAGGACAGATCGCTGTCTGAGGAAAGCATGTCCTCAGAGCCAGCTCTGGGTTACCCCTCGTCGGGGACAAGCGACTCTGAGACTTATCTCTCCATCATCCATTCCCTGGAAACCAAACTGTATATTACAGAGGAAAAACTCAAAGATGTCACAATGAAACTTGAAAGCCAGCACGGCCATAACCAGGAGACGCTCATCGCCCTCCACCACCAGTGGGCCAGCACAGAGTCCCAGCTGCGGGAACAGCTTCAGACCAGCTTGTCCCAAGTCAGTGCTTTGATCTCACAGCTGGAGAACGAGAGGCAGGAAAAGTTCAAGCTCATAGAAAGTCACGTCAGTGAGCTGGGAGGTTTCCAAATGAAAAACAATCAAGCGCTGACTTGCTTAGAGAAGTGCAGGGAGCAACTAAGAGCCTTGCCCAAATCAGACAAGGAAAAAGAGGGTGATTTGTTCCTTGTTAATCTGTCCAACATGGAAACGACGTTATCAAACGCGATCCAAGCCCTGAGTGGGGCGCCAGTCCCGTTGGAGTATCAGCAGAGTGAAAGCCTTATCACAGAAAGCCCTGCTCCAGAAGGAGGGGTTTTAGGAGAAGAGGAGCATGTCTCCAAGGAGCAGCGAGTGGAAGTGTTTGACGCCAGCCAACTGAGATGGCTTTCTGAGAGGGTGGCATTTGAGGCCTCTCTCATCAACCAAATAGCAGAGTCTTTAAAAAATGCAAACTCTGAGATAGCCCAGCTTCTGAGAGAGATCCAGGGAACAGCTGAGGTGGTTTTGTTGGAGCCGGCAAGTGTTTCTCATACAGCCGTCGATTTGGCCGGTGTCCTATCTAAGAAGCTGCTGCTGGAAGGCGAGTTCTGGAGCCAGGTAGAGGAGCTGAGAGCACACTTGAGCACCAGAGACGGAGAAGCCGAGGGCAAAACAGATACAAGTTTGGGGGTTTCCCAGTGTTTTCTCAGTGCTGTAGCAGATGCTACGTTGATCAAGGCAGAACTTGGGTTTGTCGCACAGAAAATGAGAGAATCTTTTCATCAGAGATTAAAAACAATTGAAGAAGACCTCCATAATACCAAAACAGCTCTCCAACAGCACAAATGCATGTTGGAGGAGATCATCAAAGCCTACAGGACTCCTGAGTTCGACAGAGTTATGCACCAGATTTCTGAAGCACTTGAAATACAAAAAGATGCTTCAGAAAGAGCCCAAATCTCCTGGGAGGGGAGTCGTCTCCAAATGGTGTCATGCCAGGAATTAGCCAAGGTGGAGGAGACTGGCAGCATGCCAGACCGTAGAAGTGGAGCTCTTGTTTCCATTCAGGAAGATCTTGCCCAACAACTAAAGGACAAATCCAATGTTCTGAAGGAGATATCTGTTGCCTTACTCTCTCTGCCTCCCGAGGAGGCAATGAGAGACTGTCAAAAGCTCCTGAAGATATCCCAGAGTCTTTCCTACCAGTCGTGCATGGGAGACCTGGAGCGGTATTCCTCTTTGTTAGTCCACGATGCAATTGTTCAGGCTCAGGTTTGTTATGCTGCTTGCAAAGTCCGTCTGGAGCACGAGAGGGAGATGAAGTCCTACAGGGAGTCCCTGCAGAGCATGGACGCGCTGTGCCAAGAGCGCGTGAAGACGGTCTCTCTCCTGCGGGATGAGTACGAAGACTTGCTCAGGAAGCAGCAGGGCGAGTACAGCGAGGTGATCGCTGTGCTGGAAAGGGAGAACGCTGATCTCAAAGCCAAGGTGTCCCAGCTGGACAGCCAGCGGAGGCTCTTGGAGGAGGAAGAGCACAAGCACAGCAAGAGCTTGAGCGAGCTCCAGGGACGTTACGAGGAGGAGATCCGGAACGTGATAGAGCAGCTCAACAGGACAGAGGATGCTCTGAAGGCCGAGAGGACTGAGGGCCTCAACCAGCTGGATGCCATTGTCCGTGACAAGCAGAACATGGAGCGGTATCACCTGGAGCAGATGCAAACGCTGGAGGAAAAGTTCCAGGCCAAGATCAAGGAGCTGCAGGTCATCCACGGCGAGGAGCTGCAGGCGCTGCAGGAGCACTACAGCCAGAACCTGCAGCGCCTGCAGGAGACCCTCGATGAGTACCAGAGGCAGCACCCAGAGGTGTCCCCTGCGGTGGTCCCGGGTGCTGGGGACAACTGGGTGGCCGGCGAGGCGGGTGGCACCGGGCAGGACCCCGGCAGGGACCTGGACTCCATGCACGGCCTGAGGGAACGCATCCAGGAGCTGGAGGCCCAGATGAACGTCATGAGGGACGAGCTAGAGAACAAACATATGGAAGGGAGCGCTTCCACCTTGAGGGAAAAATACCAGAAAGACTTTGAAAACTTAAAGGTCTTGATATGTTTAACACTTTATGCTTTCTGCTGCTGAGTGTACGGGAGGGCACGTGCGGTCCCGGGGTTTGCTTGCTGAACTAAGGGGCATCCCCTGAAAGAGTCAGCGTGCCAAAGCAAGCCCCAAGGTGTTAGACAGACCTCTGTAAAGCATGGTATTTCCTTTTCTCCGTGCTGGGGTATTCTAAATGCATTGCTGAGGGCTTGGGAGGGTGGATTTTTGGAGGTGGTCTCTGTGTGGAGAAGGAGAGAGAGTTTCAAAGCGGCTTGATAACATCAAGCTCTCCTTCAGCACGAAGACCACAGTATTTCTCCCTGTACCTGAGGCATACATTTTGTTTGTGACTTCTCTTTAAAAGCATTCCTCAACTCTGTCTTTCCCAATCTGATCCAATCTCCAGTCTGTCTCTGCTGCCTTCAAAAATGCAGGATGAAATGGAAACTTGATGCTCTCAAAATGTATGTTGCTGGGGAAAGTAGCTGCAAACAGATGCCAAATTCTGTAGCAAAGCAAAGCTCCTCTGCAGGAGGCTGTGAGGACCCTGCTGGTGTTGGACACAGCAGTTGTGTACACAACAAAGAGTGCACAGTTATGGGACACCCAGGTGAGGTGCAGAGAAACCCGCTGGCAATGAAATGCCACCGTTCAGATTGCCCCACCAGTCAAACTGGCTGTAAAAGTGATCTGAGATGGTCCAGCATCTAAAAAAACCTCCTGGGTTTAGTGTTTTGCTTTTCATAGGAGAGCATTCCCAGTTAGGAAGTGAGTTTAGGCTGGTAGAGGACTCTAGCAGCACCAAGAGAGGCTGCCAGGTTGAACAGGAAACTAAAAGGGCAGTGATGCAGAGGCTGTGCTGGTGAGGCTTTCATGGAGCAGTTGCCCTTCAGAGTCATCAAAAATGTGGGAGAGCTTGCTTCCAGACACGAGATCCAGCACACATTTGGGCTGGGGGTTAAGCGTGGCTCAGCTCCAGCTGGTTTTAGCCTGGGAAGAGCAGTAGTTCCTGCATCCCACTGGAGTGAGGTGGTGGTGGTCACTGAATGCTCTCTCCTCTCTCTTAACCCTTAGGAAGGAAAACCCCCTCTTGATCCCCTGGTTAAGGTCAGTGGGACAGATGGGTAACACCCATCCTGTGAGCCAGGCATCAAACAGGATCACTTGTGTTTGGGGATGTTCTTGGTTTGGAAGAAGCAAAAAACTCATAACCAAAGTGGAGGGTGAGAAGTAGCAGTGAGCAATGAACGTGACCTCCCACCTGTGTTCCCGACTTTGCTCTGCCAAAATCTGCAGTTTGCCTGGTGGGATGGAAACAGCAGCTCTGGGTTAGAAACTTCCTCTGGTCAGAAAGTTAACCAGGTGATTATAAACCTGCCCAAATGTGTCCAGAAAGGCTTAAGTGTGCTTGATTCTTCTCTTCAGAACCTGATGGAGAATGTAGAATCAGTAACATAAAAGTAACTCTTTAGACTGGAGAAGAGAAGGCTCCAGGGAGACCTTAGAGCCCCTTAAGTGACTCCAGGAGAGCTGGGAAAGACTTTGGATGAGGGCATGGAGTGACAGGACAAGGGGGAAAGGCTTCCCACTGACAGAGGTCGGGGTTAGATGGGATATTGGGAAGAAATTCTTGGCTGTGAGGGTGGTGAGGCCCTGGCACAGGTTGGCCCGGAGAAGCTGTGGCTGCCCCATCCCTGGAAGTCTCCAAGGTGAGGTTGGATGGGCCTTGGAGCAACCTGGGATAATGAAAGGTTATTCCCCATGGCAGGGGGTTGGAACCCTGATGAGCTTTAAGATCTCTTCCAACTCAATTCCCAACTATGATTTTATGAGATACTGGTTTGTACGTGTTCAAGTCTCCTGGATTTATAGCAATGCATTTACAATACATTAAATAGTGAATCTGGAGCCAGACCTATAGAGGAGTATTCACCTTTTTCCTCTAATATTAGAGGTGTTTCAGGAGTTGGACTCCATGATCCTTGTGGATCCCTTCCAACTCAGCATTCTATGATTCTGTGTGTAATGAAGAATCCCGCAGGGCTGCTCTGTGCCATTCCAGTCAGCCAAGTCCAGGCAGGTTCTGGCACTGAGTTAGGAGTTTAAAAAAAAGCAAGGCTGAGAAAGTGAAGATTGCCTTGAGATTAAAACTTAAAGGGGAGGGAAAAAAACACTGGAGCTGAAAATCGGGAATGAGGTTGGCAGAGGTTACAGAGCATTTGACAGTGAAGGGATGCTGAGAGGTGCCTGTTAGTGAAGGTCAGTGGTGTTGGACTGTCCTGAGCAGTTTTGTTACTGGGGGAGTGAATTTGTCCCCTTTAAATTTCCCATGGGGTCCCTAGGTGACAGTTTTCCCTTCCTCTGGAAAACAATAGTGCTAATCAAGAAGGAATCCATTGAAATCAGGGAATAAAGCCAGCCTGTGACAATAAGAAGGAGAAAAGCCTGGTGCAGCGCTTGGTATCAGGTTTGGCCCAAGCTGTCTGATGGGGCTCAGCACTTTGTCCCCAGTGTGTGCCCTTTCTCTGCTCGTGGCTTGGGCCTGCCTGTGGCTTTGCTGGTCCTGCCTTTGTCCTGCAGCCGTGTGTCCATCCGGGATCCCGATGTGCTTGGGCTGACAGCTGAGCTGGGAACAGGCTTTTGCATTTGTCTGCTGTTCAGGCAGGAGCGGGGTCTGTGCCGGGGGCAGAAGGGCCAGGCTGGAACTCAGGATCTCTCCCCTGATTGCTGCTCCTGAGTCCTGGTCAGAGTTCACTCCCAGTAATTCAAATAGCAAGTAACTGCCCCTGCAATGTTTGCAGCAATGCTTGGTTGGGAATTAAAGTCCTGTTCTTGTCACATGTCGTCTGCTTCCACCCAGAGGTGGCCACATAAAACCAGGCATTGAAAAGAGAGCAGAAAGGGCACAGAAAGCTTTTTTTTGGTTGGTTTTTTTTGGCATATATTTGCATTCTCCCACTGGGTCTGCCCCCAGACCTACCCTGTGCTCCCCTTTTACCAGAGCTATCTGGGTAAAGCAACTGCAGGAATAAGCCCTGACCTTGCAAGGTTCATTCTCCTCCATGGCTGAGGAAGGGGAAGATGCATGATGCACCTACCTGACCATGAGCTGACCTACCTGCTGGCATGTGGCTCCTGGGGGGCTCACCACTGCTGTGACACCAGCCCTGCGCTCCTGGGCCAACCCCTTCCCCTCGTCCCTTTGCAGGCAACATGTGAAAGGGGCTTTGCAGCCATGGAGGAAACACACCAGAAGAAGATCGAGGACTTGCAGCGGCAGCACCAGCGGGAGCTGGAGAAGCTGCGGGAGGAGAAGGATCGCCTGCTGGCAGAGGAGACAGCTGCCACCATTTCAGGTACAGGACACATCAGAGGGTCCCCTGTGGCAGCTCTGTGTTGATGGGGACACAGGGATGATGTTTGCTCCATGGAGGAGCAGAGCAGGGATGAGATGAGGGCTGAGTGGGGAGCAAAGGGAGATGGGAAAGGGCTGGTGGGAGAGATGTTTTGGATGGAGGCCCATCTCCTGGTCCTTATCCAGATTTGGTGCCCATCTTCTTGGCTGTTGCGCGGTCTGATCTGTTTTCCATTCCAACTCAGAAAGGCATTAGTCATTCCTGTGGTTAATTTATTGACAATTCCACACTGAATTCATTCTTCAGTGCCTCATGACTGTTAAAACGCTGGAGCTTGGGGTCTCTGCATTAGGAGTCCCACAGTCCAGGAAACAATGTGTGAATTGGACAATCATTTGGACTCGATGAAAAAATGGGATTTGCAGAACCCCGAACACAGACTGAAGGGGCTGTGATGCAGTGGGAGGTTTGCTGGGATCATTCAGGTTTTTGTTCCTCTAAAAACCAAATAAGAACTCAAAAAACCTTCCCATGGGTGGAGGGTGCTGGGTGCTAACTCTGTGCTGTCCCACGCAGCCATCGAAGCCATGAAGAACGCACACAGGGAGGAGCTGGAGCGAGAGCTGGAGAAGTCCCAGCGCTCCCAGATCAGCAGCGTCAATGCCGACATCGAGGCCCTCCGAAGGCAATACCTGTAAGACCATCATCATCCTCAGTCTGTCACTATCTTGCGGGGAGATCGCGTGTGTGGGAGACTCTTCTCTCCCCTTTGATTTTGGCAATGAGTTGGGGCAGACCTGCCATTGCAGGGACCTCTTCCTTCCCAGCCCAGGTGCACCCACCGGCACCTCCTGGTTGCCCATAATCTTTCAGTCTCCAGATCGATGTTCCCACGTTACCCAAATTCAGCTGCTTTGTGTTCACCAGAAGTAGCAGATGTGCAGCCACGGTGCTGCTTTTCACGCAGCTGCAGCGGGAGGGTCATTCAGCCAGATGTAACAGGAAGTGCTGAGCTTTTCATGGCAAGGCTGTTCTCCCAGCCAGGACAGGGAAGGGTTGACTCACTCCGGGCTCCCAAAGGGAGTACGCAGTCCTCATCCTCAGTGCTCAGATCCCTGTTGGGTTGTCCCAGGATGCTGAAGGAAGAGTGTGCATGGGGGGGTTTGTATGTGGAGAGGACACTACCCAGGGTGTGTTCCGCAGGGAGGAGCTGCAGTCGGTGCAGCGGGAGCTGGAGGTGCTTTCGGAGCAGTATTCACAGAAGTGTTTGGAGAATGCCCACCTGGCGCAGGCGCTGGAGGCTGAGAGGCAGGCCCTCCGCCAGTGCCAGCGGGAGAACCAGGAGCTCAACGCTCACAATCAGGTGAGAGTCCCCGCCGTGCCCGGGGCAGCCAGCACGGGTGATGTTGGGCTCTGCTGCGAGCAGTGGCCGTGCTCCCCCTTCCCACAACAGCTCTCCTCCTCTTCCCAGGAGCTGAATAATCGCCTGGCTGAAGAGATCACACAACTGAGGAGCCTGCTGATGGGGGAGGGCGGGGGAGAGGCTGCTGGGTCGCCTCTCACGCAGGGCAAGGACGCCTACGAGCTGGAGGTGAGCTCTGCTGCGGCCATGCCGAGGGGCACGTGGGCGGGCACATGTGCTGTGCCCCCTGGGAGCCATCCCATGTCACTGTGTCACAGCCATCTGTCCCTCTGACATCAGGTCTGCGTGGCTGGTCAGCACTGTGCATGGTGGGCTGCAAGGGGGCCAGGAGATTTTGGGGTCCTGATCTTCCCTCCTCACTGTGTCAAGTCAGACACTTGCTCTTCCTTCTCCAGTCTCTGCTTGTCCCTGGGGTCCAGTCCATGCAGAGCAGTGGGGATGAACTGAGGGCTGTGCAGGGACCACATCAGTGGTGCAAGCTTGGCCAAGTTCCCAGGAGATTCAGGAGGAATTTTCTTGCATCAGAAGAAGGGTGAACCGGAGGCTTTGTGGGACTGAGCCTCCAGCCCTGGCTCAGTTGTCACCGGCCACAGCAGGCGAGCATCTCGGGATCAAACTGTGTTTGCTTGGGTGGAAAACATGCTGGGTTTGTTCCCGCAGGTGCTGTTGCGGGTCAAAGAGTCTGAAATCCAGTACCTGAAGCAGGAGATCAGCTCCCTCAAAGACGAGCTGCAGACAGCACTGAGGGTAATGCCAGGGATGGTTCTGCAAGTCCTCTTTCTGTGCTCTGCTTCTGCATGTGTGTGTGTATGCGCTCTTAGGTTTCAGCCCACTTATACCCAGATTTGAAACAATATTCAATTTTTCCCCTGAATGGAATTCAATACCCATTTTCCTGTCATCAGTAGAGCACTCCACTATGACTGTATCAATTTAGGACTTATTCCACAAAGGAGACAGTGTGGGAAAACATCCCCTTTAGTGTGATTTCCCCATTTTCTGTCACATCAAATCAGACTTAAATGGCAAAAATAATCAGCGTTAAGAGATCTGCCCAGCCTCACAGCAGTGGATCTGGTTTGTTCTGGACAAGCCAAGGCCATTTCTGGGAATTCTGCTTGAATTCTGTGTGTTGGCTAAAATCAAAAGCCACAAACAATCCTGTAGCTGAGGGGCTGCCTGCACGGGCAGCACTGTGTGCTCGCAGTTGGCTCACAGCTTTCCGCCTGTCTCAAATCCTGTAGTCCCGTAACGCTGTTGGAAGCAGCTTCCAGGGTGTGTGTTGCCCCAGCCAAGCATTTCTCCTGCTGCCGGCTCTTCTTCCGTTGGCATTTGCCAAGCTCCTCTTCAGTGCATCCACAAACCCCTCGGCTCCAGCTGTCTGTCTGGCTCCATCGGGTTGTTCTTGTTCCCTTGCCAGGATAAGAAATACGCCAGCGACAAGTACAAAGACATCTACACGGAGCTGAGCATCGTGAAGGCCAAGGCAGACTGTGATATCAGCAGGTTGAAAGAGCAGCTGAAAGCAGCCACAGAAGCTCAGGGAGAGAAATCCCCTGTGAACACCACTGTATCGGGATATGGTCAGTCCTCCTCCAGCAGCTCTAAGTAGTCCTGGGTGTCCCGAGCTAACACGTGCATCCGGGCCTGAGTGTAGGACTTGGCCTTCTAGCCCACAGATGGGAAGCTGATGGGCTTTGAAGGCCTTCTGGCATTTTGCATCAGGAAAACCTCGTGATGCAGGGGGGCAGAGACCCTCAAAGCTCCCTCTGCCTTTAGGGCGGCGCTGCTTGAGCCAGGCTCATCAGGACACTTGCCCGGGCTGGGAGGGCAGAGGAGCCCCAGCCCTGCAGGAATGCAGTGGGCACCAGGCTAACCCCACTTCTTTTGCTTCTTCCCAGATATTATGAAATCAAAAAGCAACCCTGATTTCTTGAAGAAAGACAGATCCAGTGTTAGCCGGCAACTAAGGAATATCAGGTCAAAGGTGAGCTCAGATCTCCTGCCCAGTGGGGTGGGAATGGGGAGTGCCTACATTACTCTCCAGTGGGGGTCCCAGGTGGGAAGAAATTGGTAGGGGAAGAAAACTGAGAACTTCCCAGTCACTAGTGCTGGCCTGGATGGTTTTTGACTGCAAAAGGGCTGACTGTGCAGCCAGGCAGGGCCCGATCCCCCACTCCTGACCCTGCTGAGCCGGAGGTGTGAAGCTGCTCCCTGTTTGGAAAAAAAGGATGAAGTTCACCCTGTTCTTTGGTCTTTCACAGGAGGACTATCCCAGTATTTGCTCCCTGTTTTCAGTTGAAATTGAGGTGGAAATGTGCACATCATTATAGGTTTTAGTGTTCATGACTGCAAGATTTTTGGTCTTTCTGTGTGGCAACGATGCCTTGGTCCTGGGCCTATTTAACACACACTTTGCTTGTGTGTTACCATGGTGCAGATGGCCCTGTGCCTCTGTGGCCCTTCTGTGCTTGCTGTTGGTCCCAAAGCCCAGTGATGCTGTGCCAAGCTCTCCTTGGCAGCCAGTTACATCATGTGGGACCACAGGGATAAAACAGGGCAAATAATGCTGATCAGGAGTCAGCATTAAACATAAGTCTGTTGGGAGGAAGATCAGCATGAGCAAACCTGCTTTGCCTCTCACCTGGTGTCTCATGCTGATGTTTGAAGTGGTTGGGCCCTTGCAGGAGAGGCAAAAGGCTTCAAGCTCGGTGCCCACGTGGGGAAACAGTCACTCCCAGAGCTCTGCGAGCGGCAGCTCCTCAGCTCGGGGTGCCTGCGCTGCACCCAGTGAACACAGAGAGACCTCTGCGCATTTCGGGGCAGCCCAGACCTGCTGGGCCAGTCTGATGTTGGGTTTCCCTTCACCACTTCAACTCGGATCACTTTTTCTGTGGGTCCCCGTGTGTGTTGCTTGGTGGGAAAGGAGGAGAGGAGAGCAAGCACGGGCTGTGCCTGGGTGCTGTCGCTGCGGGGCGGGGGCTGGGGCTGCGCCAGCGCCAATGCACTTGGGATTTATGAGCTTCTTGTTTTTTTTGTTTTTGTTTTTTTTTCTTTATTTTGCTTTTTCCTTCAACAGTCCGTTATTGAGCAGGTCTCATGGGATAACTGAAATGAACCCGAGTCCAGGTTCCCTGCCACGTAGGTAAACAAACCGGCACCCACCCAGCGACGCAGCTGCCCACGGGAGCGGCCCAACTTTTGCATGCCCTGCTCACACCTCCACGGCAAACCAGAGCCCTTCTTCTCTTGATGACTGACCCGTTTATTTACGGCTAATTCTTTTCCTGGGGGAGGGGGGGAAGGGAGGGGAGAAGTCAGTGCACCCAGGATCTGTATGAAACACAGTCTCTCTGGCTCTTCCCGGGGGAATATGGCTTTCTCGTCTTCCTGCTCCTCCCACCCTCTGCAACACAGCTCACCGACACGGAGAGGATTTGGGCATGGTGGGGCACGTTTTCCTGTTTGCTGTGTTGGGAGCGTGGGACACTGAGTGTGCACGCCTGAATGACTCTGCATGCCTCAGACTAAACTCCAGCACCATCCAGGTCTCACAGGAAAATACCCAATTTGCTGTTAGCCAGGTGGAGGAATGGTCAGGGATGCCTGTAAGTGCATTTCCCACAACAGCCTGGAGCATGGGAAATGGTGACCCCTGCCTCAGCTGCAGAGGATGATGTCCTGGGCTGCCCTAAATGTCCTTTGCCCATAATTGCTGCATCTTCAGGTTGATCTGTGCCTGAGCAAGAGTCTTCCTCGCCCAGTAACCTCCTCCTCCTGCTCTCCAGTCCTCCTCCAGCCCCCAGTGTCCACCCAGCTGCTCTCCAGCCCTTGGCACTGCGCCTGCATCCCACACAGTGGCTTCCAAGCTCATCCGGCAAAAGGAGGGAGCTGTTGAGAAATGAGTCTGACCCAATGAGCCAGATATCTCCATTAACTGGAGCAATAGTTAAATTTGCTGGCCTGTGGCGAAGACTGAGGTTGGAGCACCTGCAGAGGCAGTTTAGAGGAGAGGGGAGCTCCCAGCACGGTGGCAGAGGGGTGGCTGGGGAGCCCCAGGAAGTGTGATGGAGGATCCCTTTATCTCAGATATCATCCCACATTAGTCTCACTTCATCAGGCTCCCCTCATCAGCAACTCAAATGGGTTGTGAGACTGCCTGGGGGCTGAATTTGCTGGAATTTGTACCATCAGGCAGAACGGTCTAATGATTCCTGGTGCCTCCTTCCATCTAATGAGAAATCAGATGCACGAACTGGAATGCATGGGTTGCTCCCATTTAAAGAGGCCCAAAGTAAACTTCCCTTAGGAAGTGTGTGCTCAGAGACTCACAATCCCAGGAGACTCTGCTGCCCATTGGAAAGAAAGCACAGAGCATTGGGAAATTCAGTCCAATTCAGTGCTTTCATTTCCGTGCTGCCTGGCAAAGCCGTTCTGTGTTTGTGGGTCTGTGGGAGGAAAAACATTTCCAGAAATACAGTAACCATGGGAATCTGCACAGCCTTGGGGCAAGTTTATCATGGAGTCCTGCCTTGATAAACACATGGGAATAAAAACCCATCCAAAAAGTCTAACCTGCTGCTGCGATTGAACAGTCCTCTGGCACCACAGTCAGGGAAGGGAAAGGAAAAGGAGAGATGCCTGCCTGTTAATAGATCATGAAGTCCCAGAATGGTGTGGGTTGGAAGGGATCTTAAAAATCATCCAGTTCTAACCCCCTGCCGTGGTCAGGAACACCTTCCACTATCCCAGGTTGCTCCAAGCCCCATTCAACCTGGCTCTGAACACTTCCAGGGATGGGGCAGCCACAGCTTCCCTGGGCAACCTGTGCCAGGGCCTCACCACCCTCACAGGGAAGAATTCCTTCTCAATATCCCATCTAACCCTGCCCTCTGTCAGTGGGAAGCCATTCCCCCTTGCCCTGCATTTCATGCCCTTGTCCAAAGTCCCTCTCCAGCTCTCTTGGAGCCTCTTTAGGTTCAGGAAAGGGCTCTAAGGTCTCCCTGGAGCTTCCTTTTCTCCAGGTTGAACAATCCCAATTCCCTCAGCCTTTCCTTATAGGAGCTGAGTTCCATTCCTCCAGTCTGTGCCTTTGAAGGTGCCAGGTCTTAGTCTGTAAAGCAAATAGTATTCCAGCTGCAGAGTGAATTCCTTGCAAGTTCCAAGGAACAGGCTGGCAGGCAGCTGCATGTCCCAGCAGTGGGGCATGAAGGGGCAGAACCCTGGCTCTGGGGGCTGTTTTTATGGGGTATGGCTGTGCCAACTCATCCACAGCAAGCAGGGACAACTCACTTCCCAAGGCTTTGCTCCCCTGAATCTCTCATGCCACAGGTTTGAGGCTGGAGGAAGGAGAGAGGCTGGTGTTAGACTGGTGCATCCCCTCGGGCTGGTTTCAGCTTAAAGCTGATGTACAGGAGTCAAGCAATTTGTTTCTGGGTTTCTGCCCCTCTCGTTGCTGTTCTCCTGAGTCCCCACATGTAGGTGAGGGATTTCACAGTTCCAAGTGCCAAGGGCTAGGAGGGCTGGCCTATGTGATGGTCAGCTGAGCGTTGTGCCTTGAAATCTGGATGCTGCATCTGAATTGGATCAGCCCTCAGACCCTGCCAGACCTGAGCAGAATTTAGGAGTTGTGTGTCTAACCCTGGGCAGTCGAGGCAGTTTTGGCTTGGGATAACCCTAGGCTGGGATTAGAGAGTGGTTGGGATGGCCACTGGCAGCACACACCAGTTTCCAGGGCTCCTTGAGCAAATCCTGCATTGAGCAGAGCCAGAACCGTCCCCATGGGTGCCACAGTGGTGCGGGAGGCAAGGAAGGACCAGTGTGCAGGTCCTGCTCAGCATCCTGGGGCTTCAGGGTACCAAATCCAAGCTTCATCCGAGGTTCCCATGGTGCCGGAGCTCTGCTGGAATTGCCCCATCCAGCACTGCACCACGGGCCCAGGGGGTCATCTCCCAGTCAGCTAATCCCGCTTGCAGCATGGTGTGTGCCTCTCATTCGCTTCTCGTCCGTCGCCTGGTTCATTGCAATCTCACCCTCTCTCTAGGCACCAGTAACCGCCCTCCATAACCGTGTGTTTTCTCTCAGCATGTCCCACTAATCTCTCCGCCAAGGAGCCCATCCCTCCACTGCCTCGTCTCCTCTGCCTGAGCATCGCCCCCTCTCCGCGTGCCGGGCGCCCGCCCACGTCCCACGCTCTCTGTCTTTTTCTCTCTCCCAGAGTCTGAAGGAAGGCCTGACTGTGCAAGAACGCCTGAAGCTTTTTGAATCCAGGGACTTGAAGAAAGACTAGTTCTCCCCGCTCCGCTTGACCACGCGCACCTCCCAGCTTGAGGCAGCACAGCACCAGCACCGTTTGTCTCTCGTTCCTTACGACTGTCCTTGCTGTCGTTCGTCTTGAGGCTCCCGACGGGACCCGGCGCCGCGGTGGTGCCCCCCCCCGCCACCCCCTCGCCTCCCCGGCTCCTTTCCCTGCTTGTGAGATGCTCCAGAGACTCTGAGAGAGAGAGAGAGAGAGGAAGGGATTGGATTGGGGTTTTTCCCCCCCTCTCTTCGGCGCTTTGTAGGAGAATCCTTTCTTTACTGTAAACCATTACACTAAGTGTCAGTATTAAGGCTCAGTAGCCTGTTAATAAGCTATAGCTCTGTCGTACCGGCCGCTCTGGTGCGCAAGCAGGGCCTGGGTGGTGTCGGCCAGACCGAGCTCTTACTGCTGTCTAGAGACCCAGTGCTCAGAGCACGCCAGGAGCCTGATCTAATCATTGATCTTGACTGCATTACTTGCACCTACAAGGGGGGAAAGCCCGGGGGAAGCTGTCGGGGAGCGCGAGTCTGGAGGTACAACACTGACATCCCGCTGGAGAAGGATACAAGAAGTGATTCTCCTGCCCCGTGACTGTGCCGTATCCTGAATGTAGGTGCCACCGAAGCCTGGCGAGCTTTGGTGGCTGCCCAGATGGTTTTGGATAGGGAGCTGCAGCTACTGAAGTGCACCAAGTCTGCCCCGTCGGCGCGTCTTTGCTCCCGTCTCGCTGGTGGTCGGAGTTGGTGTTCCAGGGGCTGAGCTGTAAGATCACTTTCTTGCCTCTGTTAGATCAAGCCCAGCACTCTCTTTTTTTTGCTGTTACTCCCTTCCTCTCATTGAGTCCCGTGTATCCCAGGGTCTGTGCGCATGTGAAACTCCCTTTTCCTAGTCAAAGGAAAGTAGAGTAGAAAGTAGAGCCAATATTGACTGAAAATGCACAGTGCTCAATGCGTATAATGCTCCTTTTTTATCAGCTTCTTGAATTCAACTCTTCTTGTCAGCAGGGCAGCTCCTATTTTAATTCTTTAATCTTTTCCTGAAATAAAAGTCTCAAAACCAGTATGTGCTTCAGACCTTCTCAGTCCTAGTAGCTTTTGTATTTAAAATACACAGTTTAGCACCATGAGGCCGATAAATGGATACAAACCGAAAGTGAGTTGAGGAGCTGGTAGCACTAGATGGTCACAGCCAGCTGAGCAGAGGCTTCCTAGAAGAAGCCTGTGCTGTTTTGTAGCAGCTGCCCAGGTATTGGGGCTTCATCCTGGGCTAAATTTCAAGATGCCACCTGGAAAGCCCCCAGGTCCTGCCTCGCCACTCGCCAGGGCTGAAGGAGCTCTCCAGCATGTTGGCTTCCCAGCCCTGTTCATGTGCCGAGTGAACTGCATCACATCAGGCTGGGATGTTAAAGGTACATCCTGGCCTTCACCAGGAGCAAAGATTCCTCTTGTCCTTGGGCACTCATCACGTGGTTGAGGCAGCTCTGTCTCCTTCCCTGCTGGTTTTGGGTCTGCCAGGCGGGCAGTGCAAGCACAGCTCTCAGCATCACGGGGCTGGGAATGGACATCTCCAGTCCTGCCAGGCTGCACCACGGGAGTCACCCTCATCCTCCTGCTTGGAGCAGCATCTCCGTTCCAGCCACCAGACCCTCTGCGGGAGACGGTGTCATCGTACTGTGGTGGGAGTCAGGCTCTCATCCAGCTTGTGTGGCCTTGCCATGGCCAAGTGCTCGGCTTGGAACCTCCTGGGGCGCTTGTGGCAGTGCATGGCAGCACTCGGGTCCTGCCCACAGGAGCACCACTTGTCCCCAGACAAGATGTCAGCACCTGTCATGGGCAGAGCACATCCAGGGACACTCCTGCTGCGATGCTCTGTGTGCCTCGGTGTGCATGGAAGTCCTGGAGATGGGAGCAGGGTAGGAAAGATGCCCTGGAGCATGGCTTGGTCACATCCAAAGTCATCTGTCCAGCTCTCAGCAGGGATAACCTTTACACTTCATCTCTGGCTGCTCTGGGTCCGTGGTGAGCTGTGATGTCCTGGCAGAGGCTGTGGGATGCAGCGTGGATGTGGAATGGTGTGTAGGTCTTGTCATTGTCATTGCTCTTCCCTTAGAAGACGTCACTGCCTCTGGGAGAACGGCTTCCTCCTCCTCCTCCTCCTCCTCTTCTCTTAAGACTTATGGTGGGACTTCATCCTGTTTAGCCAAATGAGCAGAACACACTGGACTCCTTCTTGCCACGTGGACCTTGACCCTTCTTACATCCCCCAGCAAATCCTGCTTTTCCTTTGGATGCTTCATTGGCTCAGGAGCCGTAATTCTAAGCGTGAGGACTGGCACTTGCTATTTGCATTGTCTCGTTGGTGGCGTGGGGGATACAGGATGGGCCCTTTCTGATACAGGATCGTGTTGCTGAGCATCGGGAGGCTCCCCACAGAGAGAAGTTTTCTGCTGTACATTTGCTCATACCAAAAAAATCCTCTCTTGCAGCTTAGTGTCCTGCCTGGGGCTAGTTATTGAGCCCAGTAAGAGCACTAGATTTCTTTGCCAGAAAGCTCCTGCTTCCAGACTGATTTCTTAACATAGAGACCAGCTGTGCAGGTGGAGGGCACACATGGAGCAGATCATCCCCAGCTTTTGACTCAGCATCTGTAAATACATTAATATGATTTTTTTTTTTTTTTTTTTAAGAAAGGGGTGAGGATGGGCAGCAAGACACTGCATGTGTTGGCAAAGCTCTGAGCTGAAGACAGGGAGGGTCCAGAACTGCCCTTTCTGCGTGGTGCTCCAGCCCTAAATCGCCCTGTGAAGAGAGGCTGGTGGGGGATATTCTTATTTATACACATATAAAAATATTACTGCTGGTTAGTTGGGGGAGAAACAGCCCAGGAACACTTGTACAGCTCTTGCTCCTTTCCTGTAGACATGTCCCTGGGCTAAGCAAGAGATTGTAGAAACTTCTGGGCCACTTTTATAAGTTCTTCACCCAAGGCACTGCACTGCGTCTCTCCGGTGAGGCACTGCCAGGGATCAAGCAGCATCAGGAATGAAGCTGGATTTTTCTTCTCTCTTTCCACTATTTTTTTACCTTACTGTACAGAAAATGTCAGTCCTCACATCACCCCTCTCCCTCTTTTAGGGGCTCCCGGAAACATCTGTAAAAGGATTTGAATTAAGGATTACTCAGACTCTGTATGATCAGCTCCAGGGAATCAGCTGCTCAGAGGTTTCCTTTTGTTTAATCCATATTGGCCTGGACCTTCAAATTGCTTTAGAAAAGCAAAACAGGCAGGTTTGCTGGGAAAAAAAAACAACAACAAACAAACAAAACACTCTGGCACTACCAGGTGTAGCTGAAATAAAAGGTGTTGGCTGGCAGGAGAACAGCCCCAGGGAACAGGGAGAACAACCACAGGGAACATTGTGTGTGCGCAGGGATGGGGGGACTGGCCACCACTGTCAGGGCTTCAGTGGTGTTTAATAAGCCAAATTAATTAATCTCATTGCTGAACTTGTTGGTTGAAAATACTTCTCTCTAAGCCAGGGGGGTCTTTAATGAACATGGTGGTGGTGTTCTCTTATTCAGTAAAGGGAGAACCTGCAGCACCAATAAAGAGCCAAAACCTGAAATTTTCCTGCAGAGAGCAGTGCTTGAAAATAAGGTGGGGAGAGGGGCGTGCAAAAAAGCCAGCTGGGAGGCTTATTACTCATAGCAGTGGTCCTTAGTTATCCTCTTTCTTCTTCCTGCTCCAGACTTCATCTGTCTTTTGGGATTAATCAGTGGTTATTTAAATAGGAAAGTGTGTGGGCAAGCTGCTGCGTTTTGCACCACTCCACACTATTGATAGCACTGACTTGGGTTTAGGAAAAGTCAAGTGCAGTGAAGGCACAGGCGTCTTCTCGTCAGCTCCAAGTGATCTTATTTTTTCCTGAGCAGAATTTTCCTCCCATTTGTACCATCTCCCCTGAACTAGACTGAATCCTTCTTTAAATCTCACCTTTTCTTTGCCCACTTACAAAAAAAAAAAAAGAAGCAAACTGTGCTCGTTTGCTTCAAAACCAGAATTGTGTAGAACTGGTGCTGACTTGCAAACCAGAAAAACTCCCTTTTTTTTTTCTGTACCAGAGAAGTGGGCTGCAGTAAAACCTTCACCACCTCACACTGCAAAACACGTCACTTTTGTACCGACTGTACTTGATGGCACTTCCATGAGACCTTTGCATTTTTTCCTGGTTCAGATACTCAGTTTGTTGTGGACGCTCAAGCACACGCACGCTCGCTGTAGCTGGCCTTTGCTTTGTAATTTTTTTCCATTTTTTAAGGAAAAAAAGCTTTGTTATTCTTCTCTTAAAAAAAAAAAGGTAGTTTAAAACCTGTAAGTGTTCCAAGCACGCAGTGTAAATATTTATTCCTCAGCAATTAGCAGAGGGTTCTCTTTTGCGACTGAGCTGTGGGTTTGATTTTTAAATCTTGTTCCACGTGCGGGTTGGGAAAGAAGCAACGAGTGTAACGTGTCCAACCCACCCTGTCTTCCCTGATAAACCATTTCTTTGGGGTTTTAGGACTGTTATAAATATATTTTCAAGCCTTTTCTGCTGACCTACACCTTTAGTTTTGAAGGTACCTGTCCAAAGATTGTGTACAGTCCCTTTGACCGCTGTAACCTACTTTGCTATAAATTTGGGTTATTTTTTTTCCATTCAGAGGACTCGGTAATCTTGTGTTTGAAAGTGGCATCGACGCCGTGCATGTGCAAACTGTTACCTGTTGTTATAGAGAGCGGCAGCAGCTCCTTGGTGAGACACAGCTCTCCTTGCACAGTCACCCGGGGCTGTCACGGTGAGCACAGCGAGCCCCCAGATTTGGGAGGCACCTCTAACACTGCTCTTCCTTGCGCAGCACATTTGGGATTCTCTTGGACTTTCCAAGGGATCCACAGCCCCTGCTGCACAGACTCACATCCCACAGCAGCGTGGTGGTGCAGTGTGTGTAACCTCCAATGTAGCTGCCCCTACAACGTAGTTACTCCTGAGTTGAACATGATCCTGTAGTACAAACCACGTTTTAGAAGAGGATCCAACGTGCTGCTGCAGGAGCAGGGAGCACCAGGCTGGGAACAACGTGAGCCTGGCCTCAGTGTGAGGCTGCTAAAGAAACAGAGGGTGTGGGATTTACTAGAGAAACCTGATGAGCCAGACAAGTTGGTTCCAACTGAACTAACCCAGCTGGCCGTGAACTTGTAAATAATGGGTGCAATTACCATTGTTTTCTTCATGCTTTCTTCACCCTGTGTGCAGGACGACAGGAACACTCACTGTTTGTTCTAAACTAGAGACAGTAAAGCATGTAAAATACTAGAGACTATGGTAAGTAGAAAGCAGGAATGCTCTGGCTTTGGCCCGGGCCTACCCTCCCGGGTCCTGGAGTTCTGGGTGACTTGAGAGTTTAAAGAATCATTTGAAAGGATGAAGGTTTGGGGGGGACAGAAGGAAGCTCTGCAAGGCTGTGGGTGGTGGTGTCTGAGCAGGCTGTTCAGGTACTTCACCACCCTATGGAAAAACAGCTTTGTCTTGGTTCTCTCAGAGCACAGTTTTACCCCACGACTGACCTGTAACCAGCGGGGACTCGTTCTGGGTTAACCCTGCTGTCTGCCACTTGTACATGGAAATGACTCGAAGGAATTGTGAGCCAGGAGGGTGCAAGAGTCATCTGTGATGAAGGGATGCAGCAGCCAGCCCTCCACCTCTGACCTGTGACGTGGCTGAGCAGCAAAGTGGCAACAGAGCCCGGGCAGTGCTGGGATGCTGCAGCCCCTGACCTCCCACACGGGGTATTTTCCCTCTGCAATGGGGAAGGGTGTGGGAGGCTCCTGTTTCTCAGTGTGCGTGAGCTCCTCTCTCCTTCCCTTCTCCCTTCCACTCCCAGTTTATTTCAGTGCTTTTTTAAGAGCCACCGTTCCCCATCGGCTGCTTGCTGTAATAGACACATCCCTCTTTCTCACAGTATTTATTCCTTACAAAACCCTGTGTGACATGCTAGGCTCCCCTGGATGTAGCTGATCATTTTTACTTTGTAAATATAATTACCTAACTTTACATTAACTATATCGTAATAAACTATTTTTGCACCACCCTTTGCATGCCGTGTGTGAGGTGTTCTCTTCCAAAAAGAAGAACAGGGCAGAGGCCAGAGCTTGAAAATGAGGGAGCTGTTTGCTTTTATAGTCACACTTCGCAAAGGAAATGCAACAGGCAGCATTTTAGTAAGCAGTAATATATTTAGAGTAGTTTAAATCTAGTGCTGTTGAACGGGATTTACTAGAGAATGACCTTCCCCAAGTGCTTCTGTAGTTGCTACACCACAGGTAACATCGTGTTCTTTCCTCCATACGAACTTTCTCAGGCAGAACAGAACAAATCTACAATCTCTGGTGATATCCATGTATCCTAAATAATACCTAAGGACTTACAGGAATTGCAGGGCAAAAACCAAATGAGGATGTTGAGGTTTTCTTTGAAAATGGTTTATTTGGCAGTGCCAGTCACAGCACCACTGGTAAAAAAACTGGTAACAGAATATCAAATAATCTCTCAAAGTGAAAAAAATATAAAGCACTTTGTATTCAGTGTGAAACAATTCTTACACAGCCACTATTCAGTTTGAAATCCTTTGGTTTACACCATTTTTCTTCCACTCTGAGCTGCAGGGACAGAGATGTCACCTCCCTCCCCTTGCTTTCCCTCCCTGCTGCTGCCAGCACAGGTGAGGTCACTGACCCAGACTAGGACATGGTGTCCAAGCACCTGAATGAACCAGAGTTTCCAGACCTCTCCCAAAGTGTGTGACCCAACTCCAGCCATGTCTGCTCTCCAGACAGACCGACTGATCCCAGAGAACAGTTTTCTCTCATTTCCTTCCAGTCTTGCCTACACTTCCTTGCTGGAAGACAAGTCTGTCATTAGTATCTGTGCTCATTCTTTTACACCACGGCTCTCTAGTAATCTTTAGCCAAAAGAAACATATACACAATCAAAACTTAGAAATTTCTACCTATTTCCCACAAATTTCCTTTTACAAACTTTCAACAATTAATGCCAACAAGAAATGTAACTCAGGTGCTTAATCTATGCAAACTCAGACTGCTGCAGCCCTCTAATCTCTCCTTTAGTTACTGGAGTAGAGGAGCCATTGTGACACAATTCCATTTGCAGTACCCCAAGCTGGCAAATGTGTCTTTTACCACTGAAAAACCTGCCCAGCATGGTATGAACATACCTTGACTGCACCAAGGCAGGGCAACGAGTCTGCCCAATGTTTTAATGCCTCTGAATGCAGCTCTGTCACTGTCATCCTCACAAAACAACTCACAAACAGGTGGGTCATTCCCTCTAGCACAGGAATGACCCGCAGCAAGGGATCTGTGGCATTTTAGGGCAGTGAGCACTTCATTTCTCTGGAGGAGTTTACCCAAGTTGCACCCAGACGGATACAAAACAATGATGTCTGTACAAAATAATAAATTCGTGGGTGTTATCTGTTAAGTGCTCCACCAGCCCTGTACGGCAGCTCAATCAGTTACTGACTTTGGGAAAAACGTAATTGGTGGGATTGTACTCTTCCCAAATCCTTTCGAACTCATCCAGAAAAGGCTTCACGCACGCGGCGTCGTCCACGACCAGCACGTTCTCCCTGTTGCTCTGGATGGCCTGGGTGGTCCAGTTGAGGGAGCCCGTGATGAGCATCCTGCGGTCCACGATGGCGAACTTGTGGTGCATGAACCCGCCGTGCTGGTCGTGGCGCACCTGGATCCCTACAAAGACACGGCAGCTGTTGAGGGCTCTCCGAGCCTCCCCCGTGTCCCCGCGGGCCCCCCCGCGCCCGGGCTCGGCGGCGCTCACCCGCGTGGCGCAGGCGGCCGATCTGGGAGCCGTGCAGCCCCATGTACTGCGCGTCCGTGACCAGGCGGACGCGGACCCCGCGGCGGTGCAGGAGGTGCACGGCGCGGGCGAGCTGCGGGCAGGAGAAGGCGAAGATGCAGAGGTCGAGGGAGCGGCGGGCGGAGAGGAGGCGCCGCACGAGGCGGCTCAGCGAGGTCTCGGCCCGCGGCAGCGGGCACGGGCAGGGCAGGGCGGGCGCGCCGGGAGCCGCCGCCTCGGCCAGCAGCGCCTCGAGGCAGCAGGGCCGGGACGGGAAGAACAGAACCTCCCGGAGCGGCCGGGGCCGCCGCCAGGCCGCCACCGCCAGCGCGGCCGCCGCCGCCGCCACGGCGAGAAGCGCGACCCGAGGGAGCCCCGCGGGACTCATCCCACAGGACACAACACATCCCACAGGGCACAGCCCATAGGACACATCCCGCTGGAGCGGCGCGCAGGCGCGGGAGGCACCGGGGAGGGGCTGCTGGGCCTGAGCCTGAGCCTGGGCCCGAGCCTCAGCCTGGGCCTGAGCCTTCCCCACACAGTGAAATCCCACACACCGAACCTTTCCCAAAACACCAGACCCTTTCCTATACACCAAACCTGCACACACACACACAAGCACTCATACACTAAACCCTTCCCTTCCCCACACATCCAACCCTTCCCCAAACGCCGAACTCTTCCCCAAACACCAAAACCCTTCCTCACGCACACCAAAACCCCACACACCGAACAGATCCCTTCCCCACACACCAAACCCTTTCCCACACACCAAATCCTTCCCCACACAGCAAACTCTGCTCCAAACACCAAACCCCCAAACAGCAAATCCTTCCCCATGTATCCAACCCATTCCCAAACACCAGCCCTTGTGCTGCAGATACGCAATAGGGACCCTAAAGATCATCCAGTCCCACCCCCTGCCATGGGCAGGGACACCTTCCATTATCCCAGGCTGCTCCAAACCCTGTCCAACCTGGCCTTGGACACTTCCAGGGATGGAGCAGCCACAGCTTCTCTGGGCAACCTGTTCCAGGGCCTCCCCACCCTCATAGGGAAGAATTTCTTCCCAGTATCCCATCTAACCCTGCCCTCAGTCAGTAGAAGCCATTCTCCCTTGTCCTGTCACTCCATGGCCTTGTCCCAAGTCCCTCTCCAGCTCTCCAGGAGTCACTTGGGACTCTCAGGTCTCCCTCTTCTCCAGGCTGGAGACCCCCAGCTCTCTCAGCTTGGCTGCAGAGCAGAGGTGCTCCAGCACATGGAACATCTCCGTGGCCTCCTCCTGACTCGCTCCAGCAGCTCCACGTCCTTCTGATGTTGGGGTCCCACAGCTGGACACAGCACGCCACATGGAGTCTCACAAGGGCAGGATAGAGGGGGACAATCACCTGCCTTGACCTGCTGGATCCCGCCCGGCTGAGGGGACAGGGGTGGCAGAACTGGT